GGACAGCGTGTGCAGTGGGAAGAGGACGCCCGGGTCACCCTCCTGGACCTGGACGCCTGGGTGCCCCGGGCGGAGCACCCCCCCAGAGTTACCCGCTTGTAGTGTCTTTGGGGTGGGGGGCAGGAGGCAGGGAACCCCGAACCCTGTGACACAGGGGCCCAGCTTCCTGGCCCTCTTCATTCTCACCACCGATGGGCACCCCAAAATCCCACGAGGCACAGCTAAGCAGCAGTGCAGCCCCGAGACTCCTCCCAGCCACCTGCCCACCCCCCCCCCACCCCGCTGCCAAGCAGGACACACCCCACAGCTGTGCCCAGACAGCCCGTGGCCCAGGGCAGGGCTTCCAGGGTTGAAGCAAAGAGGGACAGTGGCAGCATCTGTAGTATCTGTGCCCTCTTGGGGCCCTTGCCCTGCCCCAGCCCCCCATCCCTCCCCCCCTCCGCACCCCCTACACCCCCGACCCCGTCAGGTCAGGTCTGCAGGGGGAAACCCACAGGGCCTGAAAGGAAACCCGTCTCCTCCGAGCGGCCCGCAGCCTCCCCAGCCCCAGGGCCTGGCTGCTCTGAGGCAGCTGCGTCCCCGCCCACCCCCCACTGCTGTGGCTGGGTCCGGCCCTGCCCCCACTTCTCCTTGGGGCGTGCGGGTAGACTCTCAGCACCCCGCAGCTGCCGGCATCAGCCAGAGGCTGCCGGCGCCCGGCTCCAGGCTCACCACGACCGAGAAGATGGGGCTTTCCCGACAGGGCAACATGTACGGCCGGCTGTGCCCCTGGCTGGCAGGCCCGGATGCTACCGGGAGATGCCAGGGCTTGCAACGCCCTCGCCTGGGTCCTGAGTCACCCACCTGCAGGCGGGCAGGCGGGCGGGCGGGCAGGCGGGGGACAGGGCCTGGCAAGTGGAGACCCTGAGGTGGCGTGGGGCTGGGGCTGCTGGTGGAGCCCAGAGGCTGCCCAGCACGCGGGCGTGGCGGGGTCAGTGGGGCTCCTGATGGCCCCCAAGGGGCCTGTGGGCTCAGTTTCTGTGAGCAGGGCCTGGCACAGCCTGGGCACTTTGGGTCCTCTTGGCTGGGTGGGAGTGCCGCTGGCTCCAGTGGGTCAGCCCGGGCGCCAACACCCTACCGTGCGCTGCGCCCCACCCCGCCCCCAGCCAGCCAGCACACCCTAGAGGGGACCCCACTCAGGGAAAGCCGGGCCCTGCAGGTGATTGTTGACCACCTGGCCACCATCCCGCCTGGGTGCGGCCGCCCCCTCCCCGCTTCTCCTGGCAACTGCACGCACCAGCCCTTGGCACCACCAGCACCATAACCCCAGGCTGGGCTCTGCCCAAGGTGCCCTTGGGGAGCTCCTTTTGGGGGGTGGTAGGGGCCAGGAGAAGAACCTCAGCCTTGGGGCTCAGACTGGAGGGTGATGGCAGAAGGCCAGGGCCCCGGCGAGGGGTCCAGTGCCCGCTGACGCCGACCGCTTCCAGTCCCGGGAGCCTCAAAAGACAAGACCTGAGACTTTTTCAAAGAGAAAATGAGAAATCCGGTTTTTTCATGTGAAATTTCCCAAGATGAGCACGGCCAGGAGGCCCAGCAGGTGGACGGCCAGCAGGGGGCCTGCGTGGGGGGCCCTGCCCCTGGTTCTGGCCCATCCTCAGGGCTCTGTGGCCGTGAGGCCCCCCATGATGAGGTGCAGCTGCAGTGCCCCCCATGTCAGTCAGGTGCCGCTCGCTGGCCCCATCAGACTTCCCAGAGGACCAGACCCCTCCCACCCAGGCGGGGACCACCGGCCCCAGACACTGGGGGGGGGGCTGCGACTGCAGCCCTGTGAGACGTGATGGTGACACCCCCCAGATTCATCTCCACCTGGAGACTCTGGAAATGGGTCTTGCGGATGGGACCGTGTAGTTTCCGTGAGGTTGAGGGGCCCATGGGTTGAGGGGCCTCAATCCAGGGGTGTGCGCGGCCACCTGAGACGCTGACGCCAAGAGAGGCTGAGGCTGGATGGAGGCGGCGGGGCATCTGCAGACCAAGCTGTGGGACGGGGCAGGGCAGTGGAGGCAGGAAGCGTCCTCCGGGAGCCTCGATGGGGGGTGCCTGCACCCCTGGAAGCCACATCCTGACTCCCAAGTGGGGGGGGTGCGGGAGAGCACAGCTGCTCCAGGCGCTGGCCGGCGTGGGTCGTCGGCTGGGGCGGCCCAGGAAAGCAGTGTGCCCACAGGCCCATCCTGGTTCGTCTGGGGCGCCTGCCAGGGGACTAGGCTGATGCCCATGCGGAGCCCGGCTCCGGTGCCCGCACCAGTTCCCCAGCTCGTCCCTCAACGTGCCCATAGGTGCCACCTGCAGGTCCTACCGTCCTCATCCCCAGGCAGCTGCTTGGCCTAGGCCCCAAAGCGCGGCCGGCCCCCGGGCACAGAGGCTGGAGGGACTTGGGGCTCGGGACCTGGGGAGATACTCCAGAGGCTGGGGAGAGCCCCAGCAAAGCCCCCCCATGGGGTCCGTCAACAACAGAATCTCACTCCCCACAAACCCACAGCCAGGGGGACAGGGCCGCCCCCCCAGGCTCTGTGGGCGCTTCCTCCTGCTCTTCCAGCTTCCAGGGGCTCCAGCTGCCCACCCCACCCCACCCACTCCTCCCTTGTGTGTCCCTCCCCTCCCTAAACGGAGGGCTGGCGCTGGCTCCAGGACCACCTGCTGCCTGCGGCCTCTCCTCAGCGGGTCCTGTGGCACAAGCTTTATTTCCAGGCCATCCCTAAGGTGCAGGGCAGGACGTGTAGGAGCTTCTGGGCTGTGGGCTCAGCGGGGAACCCGGCCTGGCAGGCACAGCCAGACTGGTGCCAGGCCTTGGGGGGCCGCCTGCCCGCCCCACACTCACACCAGCCCCCAAGCCAGATCACCGGCTCTGTCCAACACCCCTGCCCTCTCCAGCGGGTGTGGCTGCCTGGGGCCCCGGGGCGGCCTTCCTGCGGGGATGCAGAGGGGAGGCCGGCTGCACGGAGAGGAGGGTCCCGAGGGAGCAGGCGGCTCCCAGCCCCCGGACCACGCAGCCCTGAGTCACGAGGTTCCCCCCCACCCCGCGACACCTGCGGTGGCCTCAGCCCAGCTCCAGGGACGAGCGAGCCCAGAAAGAAAATAGAAGCAACTTTGATGGCAGAAGCTGGGACTCAGCCCGTGGCTCTCAGAACAAGGCTGGACTGTCCCACCGGGCGTTGGAGGCCGCAGGGGTGTCTGCGGAGGGAACAGGGCGCCATCCAGGGTCCCCCGCCCCTCGCTGCCCAGCAGGACAAAGCGTTGCTTTGGGAAGTGAGGAGGCTGCTGAGCTGGGACCTGCCTGGCGGGGGCTGCGCGGCTGCTGGGCAACGCTGGTGGGCAGGAGGGCCCAGCTGTCAATCCCTGCAGCAGACTGGGGGGTGGGGCAGCCCCGCCCCCTCCTCCTCCTCCTCCCCCTGAGGCGGCACCCACAGGAGACCTCCCTGCCGGAGACCGCGGGGACCGGGGTGGGGGTGGGCAGGGCTCCGGCGCCTCAACACCCCACGCCCTGGGGGGAGCGGCACGTGAGCTGGACGTTGTCATGGTCGGGAGGCTGGCAGGAGCCCCTCTGTGCTCAGCTCACAGCGGTCAAGGCCAGGGCCGCTCACCACGCCCTGCCCAGGGGGGCACAGACCCGGGGTCCGGGGATGCTCGTCTGGCAGGGACGGCTGAGTCTTGGGGCAGAGCTGGCCTGGCATGGGGTCCCCATAGGAGGCCAGAGTGCCTGGAGCAGGCAGGGCTGCCGGCCCATGATGTGGCCAAGTCCGCGAGCGCCCTGGGCAGGAGGGCTGAGCGTCTGGAAGCGCCAGGCAGCAGCGGGCAAGTCTGCGGCTGAGCTTCCCTGGGAGCGTTACTACAACCCCGGGGCCTGAGCCCACGGCGAGCCCTGATGGAGTTCACAGTCATCTCAGAAGCGACTCCACCAGCTCAGGGACCCGTGAAACAGACCTCTGGTCCAAGTTTTATTTTGGGGTGGCAGATGTACTCCCCTGTATCCCCACTGGGTCCCTCCAGCAGGACCCAGCCTCATGCCTGTCACCTGGCTGCTTGGGGTCCAGCACATCCCCATGGGGCAGTCCCAGTGACCCCAGGCAGCTGCCAAGAGACGGGTGGGGGGGTGGGGGGGCAGTGGGGGCTCTGGACCTGCCAGCTGTGAGCCTGCAGGGGGGAGGGGGTGTCACAGGAATTGGTCTTTGGGGCTTGGGGAAAGGTGGTGGGGTCCAGGCTGCCCAGACTGGGAGGTGCAGTCAACTCAGATACTGGGGGGTGGGGTATGCAGCTGAGCACTCGGTGCCCCCCAGTCTTGTCTCTGGGCCTGGACAGCGGGAGGCTGGGCAGGCAGAGCCACAGCCCAGGTGACTAGCTAGGCCACACCCAGCCCTCTGTTGTCCAGGTGCGCCCAGCTCCAGAACTGCTGACCCCACTGAGCAGGCCGGAGGGTGGGCGCAGGGGGAGGCCATGCAGGCAAGCTCCAGCCAGCTCAGCCCCACCTTCCACCCGTGCACCGCACCACCTGTACATGGGGTCCCTCCGGCAGGGCCCATCTGGGGGTCAGCTGGGGCCTGGGCCCCTGATCTGGGCTGACTTGGCAGCTGTCCTGGCTGTGGCTCGGGCTCTGGCCACTGGGCACTGCACCCCCCACCCCGGGCCACACCTGCCTCCAGGTCTGGCTCAGCAGCAGAGCCTGCATGGAGGACCAGCTCTTGTGCCCCCCACGCCCACTGCCCGCCCTGGACACAAGCACAAACGTCCCGCAAGCCTTGGCAGCACCACTGGCCCCACAGCAGGGCTCCTCTCCCTGGGTCTGGAACGTTCTTTCTGGGGCCCCCGAGAGGTGGGCCGGAGTCGGCCCCCACCACTGGCCTCTGTCCCCAGTCAGCTGCGTTGTCCTTCTCCGGGGCCGGAGTCTGGCCCCCTGTGCCTCCAGGAGGCCGTCAGAGACTGATGGTGGGTCCCTGAGGCGTCCCCACACCCAGAGCTGGGGCTGAGGAACAGAAGGCACCGGCACGACTTAAGGGTCCAATTGTTTTTCTTTAAAAATGAACAAAAAGCCTCACAAACAAAACCAGAGCTCCCCACCCCACCCCAGACACATGTAACAGATTAGCCACGAGCAGGACGAGACACGGAAGCCACGCAGGGCTGGACGTGGTCCCGGCTGGGCGATGTCCCCGCAGGCGCGCATCCGGGAGATGGGAGGACGCGAGCAAGAGCGGATGGCCGGCGGGCTCGGCCACATCAGAGACGAAAACCACACGCAGGCTGACGGGGGAGGAGTGGCCCCGGCGGGCTCTGCCTTCTAAGGTGGCACCCCCAGGCTGCGTGGGGGGACGGCCAAGAAGCCCAGATGAGAACACACCGTGACCCCCTCTGCCGGGTGCACCTGTCCACCCCGCAGCGGCAGAGCACACGGTCGGTCACCCGCCCTGGCCCCGGGGGAGCAGCAAACACTGGGAGGTGGGGGGTGGGGGCGGGGAGGAGCAGGCTGTGCCCCGAGATGTGCGCATGAACCCGCCAGGCGGCCAGGCAGCCGCTGTCTGCTTGCAGATGACAAAATCGAGGCCCGGGCAGAGCCAGGGACGCAGCTGTCTCGCACAGGTCTTCTGGCCTCCCGGGGCCGCCTGCCAGGGGTCTCACCCAGTGGGCAGAGATGGCCCCGAGGGCCAGAGCTCACCCCTGGCAGCCTCTGCGGAGCTGCGCGTGGTCACGCAGGAAGGCTGGGTCTCCTGACCTCCCCGTGGCCCCGCAGAGCAGGAGGGAAGGCCGGTGGGCTGATGCCTTTGTACCTCAACACCTAGCCCAGGCCCCCCAAGCCGCCTGCCGGGTTTCTCTGGTGTCCATCACACCGCCTGGGATACGCAGCCTCAACCAGCTGCTCGGCATTCATGCAGCCCAGGGTGGAGAGCGGGGAGGGCTCCCCAGGGTGAAGCGGGGGGCTCAGCACAGCACTTGGCTCAGAACACTTTGGGGACAGATGGGGGTCAGTGGCTAAGACGGCCACGGCACCTAAGAGGGGAAGCAGGGGGTGCCCGGCCATGTAGCGTCTGTCACCCTGTTTCTAGACTGCACGTGACCGGCACGTCTGAACGCGCTTAGCCGGGGTCCTCATAGGGCCACCAGGCCAAGAGGCGGTGCTGGCTGTGGGTCGCTAGAGGCCCAGCTGCTCAGACACCGGGCTCAGAACGCGGCCCTACTGCACACTCCGCCAGCCCCTCCTCTCAGGCAGACAGGGGCTGAGACCCCTGCTCCAACCTGGCCAGGGAGGGCTCTGCCCAGGGTCTTTAAGGCAAAAAGCAACTGTCCCTACTGTCCCCACACCTGCAGCAACGAACACCAGGAGCTGGGCAGGGCCTGTCCTCGCGCACACCCACGTCCCGTGCCGGGCGGCTCAGCACTCGGCCTCCGGCTGTAGCGTGGGGCTCTGCGCCTCCCAGGGTCAGGCTGGCCACACCAGGCCCTCGGGGGCCCCTCACGCTGCGGGCAGCACTGGGAGTTGGGGGAGATTGTCCCACTGCTCCCCCTTCCCCAATTCTTTAAAAAATAATCATCTTGGTGGCCTCCATAATTTAAGTTAAAAAAATAACACAAGTGGGTGGAGGAGGGCAGGGGGAAGACCCCGCGTGACGGGTGCCGGCAGGCACTGCCCGGGCTCTGCCCAGCGCCCTTTCTGCACGCCGAGGGCCCTGCTGATGCTGCTGTAGTGTGGCGTCCTGCCAGCTTCTGTGGTGGGTGCCGGGCCCGCAGGGGAGGCTGGTAGGTGGCAGGCCCGCGGCTGAGCTGCCTGGATGACGGGCAGTTCACCTTGGAGGGGTGAGTTGATCTCGAACGGTCTCTTGACATCTTCTTGGCAGCCTCCAGGCCACTGGCTTATGTCTCCTGGGGCACCACCTGCATGAGCTTCTGGCACAGGACAGTGGAAGAGACTGCGGGGGAGGGAGAGAGCAGAGTCATGGGGGCACCACCTCCGTGGGTGGGGTGGCCCCGCCTGCCGGGAGCACCTGCCTGTGGCTCCCTGGAGGAGCAGATAGCGGCTTGCTCCTGGTGCAGCGAGTCGCCCTGGGGTGCACACACTCCATGCCTCAGTGCCCAAGGTCTAGTCTGGCCTGGGGGCTGATCCTGGGGCAGCCGGTCACCAGCTGGCAGGTACCAGGCCCGGGGAGAGGAGGGGAGCACGCCTGAGGCTGCCAAGCCCTGGCCCCCCACAGGGTGAAGCAGGGGTGCCGTCAAGGGGCCCACAACCCTCCAAGCACCCACTCTGGGGCATCCCCCTTTGGGCCACTGCTTGTGCTCTGAAGGGAGGGTAGTGGGGGCCAGGACCGGGGATGGAGATGAGGCCCCAGCCACTGGCCGGTGCCCACGAGAACAGGGGAGACAGCCATCCTGGGGGACCACAGGCCTGGGGGACGTGGTGGGGGCGGCTTTCCCGGAAGTGGCCACGCGGACAGCCGCTGGGTGCAGGGCCTGCTGGGCCCCGGGAGCTTGTTCTCTCCCGCTCCCCCGCCCTTCTGGGTCAGCGGCTGTTGACGCCGGCGCCAGCCAGTGGGACCCCTTCCTTGGCACCAGCGGCCTGCTTGCTGGAGTCCTTGTTCTGAAATTAGCCGGTGCCAAGCTGAGTGCCTTATCCCTGAAATCTACAGGCCAGAGGCCAGTGCCCAGAGCCAGGTGGGTGTCGCCCACATGGACGCCAACCACTCGGGCCGCGGCAGCCCTGGGGGCCGGAGGCGGACTCACAGATGCCCTGCAGGAGCCACTTGGGCTTGCTCTTCCACCAGACGCCAAGGAAGTACACGGGCAGGCCGCTGAGCGTGATGGCAAAGCCGATGCCGCACTCCACGGGCGTCTTCCAGAACGAGACGGCGATCAGGAAGAGGCAGGCCAGGATGAAGAACACCGGGAGGGCCAGGTTCACCTGGACGGAGGAGAGCGCTGTCACCCGAGCCCCCCTCCCCGCCCCGGCCCCGTCCCCACCTGGCCGCCCCGGCAGCCACCTTGATGGGCCGCTCCAGCTCGGGCTTGGTGTAGCGGAGCCACAGCATGCCGGCGATGGCCAGCGCCACGCACAGCCAGTTGAAGAAGCTAAATAAGTTGATGACGGAGAAGATGTCTTTGGAGAAGGCGTAGAACAGGGTCATGATGCACTGCAAGCAGAAACCGGGCCGTGAGCCCGCGGGTGCCCAGGGCCCACAGGAACACCGCCTGGGCAGCCCCGGAACGCACGCGACCTCAGAAAACCCCAAGGGAGGTCGCCCGGGAGAGCTCAACACCCACCCGGGGCTCCGCAGGGAGGCTGAGCACAGCCCCGGCAGAAGGGCCCAGTGTCCGGCCAGCGCCGAGGCCTGCGTGCTCAGGGGCTTTGCGCAGACCACGCCACTCGCTGCGCCTCCGGCGTGAGGCAGAGCCCGGCCTGACCCCTGCCGACGGGGACGGAGGGAACCAAGAGGCCTTCCCCTGCCGCCCCTCTCAGCTCCCTCGCCCTGGGCACAGCTGGGGCCGCCCCGTGAGGCCAGGGCAAGCCCATGTCCCCAGGACAGGCCCCCTGCTGCAAGCTCCCCCTGCACCCCGGCTGGGCCTTCAGCTGGGCAGCTGGCGGCCACCACCCCTGCTGAGACCGCCGCCCAGCTGAGCCACGGGGATTCCCGCCCCTCGGGGACCCCGGGACAGGGCCGGCTGCCCAGCGGGGCCTCTGCGTTTGGGGTGATTGGCTCCATAGCGACAGAGCAAGAGCACGTGACTCGAGTGCAGGAAACTGCCCGCGATGTGACCTCAGCGTGGGACGTGCCGCCTTGTGCCCGCGCAGGTGACACAGCCGCACCCGAGCCCCAGGAGGCTCTGGGCTGGCCACAGAGGGGACTCCCCAGGGGGCTGGCTGCTCCCGCGTGCGCTCCAGATCGGAATCTCCCCACAGCCTCCCACGTTATTTTTGGATAAACAGCGGCCTGTGGCGCTCAGTGGAGCGGGCGGTGGAAACGCCTGCGCTCACTTACCTGCCGCTTCACACCGAGCTCGGTCTGTAGCCGGCGACTCGGCGGCCCAGGCAGACCACACACCCAGCAGATGGGGTGCACGGCCCGCCCCCCGCATCCCCCCGCCCTGGGACCTTCGCGCCGCTGGCTTACCGTGAACACGAGGGCGGGCATGGGCGTGAGGAGCCGCGGGTGGATCATGGACAGGATGGAGGGCAGGTGGCCCTCTCTAGAGCCCACGAAGAACAGCCTGTGGGCCACAGCGGACGTCAGCCCCCGGCCACGCGACCCCAGGCTGGGCAGGAATGGGGGCCTGGCCCTGGCCCCACTTGTTAGACTCTTAGCTCACGTCGGACACGGGGGCCCTTCTGTGTGGCTGTGTCCCCCACAACCTCGCTGGCCTGGGGGAAGCCCGGGGGTCTGCCCTGCCCCAGCCCTGGAGGGTCACACAGAACGTGTCAAAGGCTCTAGGAGGACACAGCAAAGTCCCCTCTCAGGGGGCCCCTCTACCTGCAAGCTCCAGCAGCAGCGGCACTGCCGACCCCGCTGACCCTGCCTGGCGCAGGGCCGGTGACAGGAGGCAACCAGCGCTCACCTGGACGAGGTGAACAGGGACCCATTGACGGAGCCGAAGCAGGAGAGACCCACGAACACGGGGATGATCCAGGACATGACGCCCAGGTGGCAGTTCCCGAAGTCCTGCAGAGACCTGCCCTGAGCGCCCCGCCCCCGAGGCAGGCGGTGCCCACGCCCCAACCCCGCTGCCCCAGGACCTTCCACAGGCTTGGCTGCCCCTGCCCTTGGGGGACCCCTCAGAGGCAAATTCTGGATCTGGGAGGACTGTCGCATCCCGAGAGCAGGGCCTGTGCTGCCCTCACATGTGGACACCTTTCTTGGCATCGCCAGGTGACCTTGACCTAGTGGGCTTCCCCGCGCCCAATAGGGGCTGGTGCTATCAGTCAGGCGCCCCAGAATGCGCTGGGGAGACACACTCGGGAGGCAAACCCGGGAGTGGGGTGTCTCCACCTCCCTGCCCAGCGGCAGCTAAGAAATGCCCCTAAAGGGCACCCCCCAGACAGGGCCGGCTCGCCAGCACGCTCCTCGGTCGGCCACCGCCATGAGCTCGGGGCTGCAGCCCTGGGCTCTGAGCCCGCTCTGGCTGCTCAGCAGTGGCTGAGACCCGACTCCTCACATACTGGGACAGGACCTCCATGTCCCTGGAGGCCCCTCCCTCCCAAGCCGGTCGGAACGACTATGCTGGGACCCCCCCAGACCAGCTGGCCTAAGCCGGCCCAGGGTAGCTGGCTCTGAGACCCCGCGTCCCAGGTGCAAGCAGGCCCAAGAACTGGCACCTGCTCAGCAAGGGGAGCCCGCTGTGCCTCCTTGGTGGGCATGCAGGCGCAGGGCCCGCCTCAGCCTCTCCCGGGCCCGGCCATGGGGGCAGTGACACCTTACCACAGCCACGGCCTCTGAGGTCAGCATCTGCTCGGTGGACAGGGTGGTGAAGTAGGCCAGGTTGGTGAGCACGTACACCAGCGTGACGATGGGGAGGGAGATCATGATGGCCAGGGGCAGGTTCCTGGAAGGAATGGAGGGTGGCATCAAATGCAGCCCAGGAGGGGGCCCCGGTCCTGAGCCTCACGTCCCGGAAGGAGGAGCACCTGCAGTGAGGGCCTGCCAGCTGCTGCGGCTGGGGTGGTGGGGAGAGCCTGCCCCGGGCTCCACCCGCCTGCCTCGGCCCTGCCTGCGACACGGGGCTACTCCCCAGCTCTGAGGGGCATCTAGCTCCAGGGTACACAGACCTGCTGGGAGGCAGGTTTGGGCCAGAATCCAGCCCCCAGCACAGTCCTCACCTCAAGGCTGCCCCACCCCACCGTGGCCCTGCACGCTGCTGGGCTGGCCCAGTGGCCAGGATGGCCTGGACAGGCTGGCCCCTCCCTCCCCTCACATGAAAAGCCGAGAAGGCCCGCTCACAAGCATACCTGTAGGGGTTGATCATCTCCTCCGTGACAAAATTCAAGTAATTCCTGGAATGCAGAGCAGAGTTTAGTGGTGCACCCTTCCTGGTCTTCGGGGGAAGGAAGGCGGCCCCCACAGGGCCCTCCTACCTGCTCTGGGCCGCTGGAGGGGACCCCTCACCCACCACCCTGGGCCCTGGAGCACACAAAGCAAACCGCGCCCGCCAGCTGGGCCCACCCTCCCTGAGCCCTGTTCTTTCCAGGGGCAGCCAGCACCGTCTCTGAGGCAAAGGCGTAGCCTGGCCTGAGCAGGCTCACACCCCTGGGCATGAAAGCCTCAGGGTCCGAGGCAACAGGGGACAGTGACGCAAAGGGCGGCTCTGTTGGGACCCAGTGTGCACGTCAGTGGCCTCCAGCGAGCGCAGGTGGCCCTGTCCATCCCCTGACCCAGCCACCACACAACTATTCTCAGGCCCGGGACAGTTGGACTGAGAGCAGGGGCTGCGATCAGAGACCCAGGGGATGGAGAGTCCTTCTAGCAGCTGCAGGCTGGCATTCCACTGCCAGCGGGGCCAGGGCAGGGCTGCCAGGCCAGCTTTTGCAGCCCACATGCTTTCTGCCCGTGGGTGAAGGGTCACGTAGAGGCCATCCGCTCAGCGGCTGGGCATTTGAATCTCAGGAGCTCTGGGGGAGGATGGCCACTCTCTGAAACTGCCTGGATTTCTGGGTGCCCAGGGGCCCAGCCATGCGTCCGAAGCGGAACCCACCATCCCCCGTAGGCGAAGAGGCCGCTGTACAAGGCCAGCACGATGTTCCCCACGTCCAGCTTGGTGCCTTCAAAGGCGTTCTCCGGGTCCAGATTGGAGACGCCACCTAGCAAAGGCCAAACAAACAGAAAGGAATGCAGGGTCAGAGAGCAGCACAGGGTCACGCCAAGAGTTCTGGAATGTTCCTGGAGGGAAACACGGTAACAAACAAAAATGTCGGGTGAAAACTTTCCAGAGACAAATTAAAGGCACCTGTGGAGCAGCCCAACATGCACCTCCCTGACGCGCCAGGGGCTGTCTGCACACAGGGTGGACATGAGGACAGCAGGTCCCGGCTGGGGTGTGGGTGGGGGGGACCACTGGTTGCCTCAGAGAAGGGTGGAGAGCTCCGGGGGATCCAGGTCTGCACTGTGTTCCCTCTGCCAGGAGGACCAGGGATGCCGGGCCCAGGCCTCTCACTTGTGCAAGGCCCCGGAAGCACAACCTCCTGTCGGCTACCGCGAGCACAAAGTGATCCCAAAAGGACCGAGACGCACCCCAGGACACGGCCCCTCCCAGCGTGAACGAGGGGACGGTGCCGGTGGGGTCGCTGCCGCAGGAGGCGCTGCCAGGGTGGAGACGGCGGCCTTCCGGACAGTGCGCGGGGCGTCCTCAGCCTTGGGCCTTACTCGGGACATGGTGTGTCCTCTGCGGACCATTTCCAGAGGGACGGCGGGACAGCAGCTGGTGTGCACAGTGTGAGCGTGTGGTGTGCAGGCGCGCTGGCAGCGCTGCGTGGGGCAAGGCCGTCGCCGAAGCCGAAGATAAATCCGAGGCCTGAGCCCCCACTTGGGGCTGCAGGGGTAACTGGGCGTGCCCAGCGTGGCCGGAGGCACAGGTCTCAGGGTCTCTGGCTCCGAGCCCTGACGGGTGAAGGCAGTCTCCCCAGGGCACCCGTGCTGATCTGTGGGTCCTGCCCCGGCCCCCTTCCTGGGCTCTGTCCTTCCATTTTATGGCCTCCGCAAACTCAGGAAACAGCTGCCGGCTGCAGGGGCGTCGGTTCCACCAGGGCTGCGAGGGCTTGGCTGGTGCCCCAGCCCACAGGCCGCTCCGCGCAGGGGACAGGGTCTCCCTGGGGTGCCTGGGCCTCATTTCTGAAGTCCCAGGAGGAAAGCAACATCCAGGCCTGTTTACTCCCGCCATGGGGAGGCCGTGGCGGGCAGCCCCAGGCCGTTCTGTGCCCTCCCCCAACCCAGACGTTCCCCTGGGCTGTGCCCACCCTGCCATCTCCCTGTGTTCTTCCTCCAGCAGCCGCCCCAACCTCTGCGACCAGCACACAGTGACAGACTCTGTAGACCCCTGGGGTTGTCGTGGGGGTGGGGGCTGGGGTGCAATGCCCGGGGCAGCTCCCACAGCTGGTCGTCCCAGACGGGAACCTGCCCCGGGCTGATGGCAAACACACCACCCATGTGCCTGCTCCCCAAGGGCCGGGGCTACCCCTCCCCCGATCCAGCCCCGCTCCCGCTGTTTCACCAGGGCCCCAGGCACCAGCAGGCCAGGGCTGAAGGGCCTCAGTCCTCCCCGGACCCGGGCTCCCAGGGGGGCGGCAGGACAGGGTCGGGTGGACAGACGGGAAGGGCAGGCCCCAGGGGAGCTGCGTCTTTCTCCTGGTGTTATAGAGCAGCCCCGATATTAAACGGGTTCCCCCTAACACTGGGAGGCAGCAGATGAGGAGGATCAGGCCGGGTATGGGGACCCCATGTCACCCCCCCTTATCAAGGCCTCCTCCGAAGAAGACTCAAAGCCTCCCCCACACCTGCTGCCCAAGAGAAGAGAAGGCGCAGACCCCTTGGGTGGCCCTGGCCAAGCACCCTGCAGCAGCCTCAGAGGCCTTCGCGCCCCTTCGCTGCCTGTGCGTCCCTTCCTGGCCCTGAAGTGCAGGGAGCACAGGCCCTGCCCGGGCCCCCCGGCCACGACCGCGGAGGCAGCCTCGCAACTGCGGGCCTCGGCTGCCTTGGCAGCCTGGCAGGGCCCAGGGACCGCGGCTAACTGGGGTGGGAACGTGCAGAGCCCCCAGGGAGCCGCTTTCAGGGAAACAGCCCAGAGGCCTGCGTCACGCAGACACCGCCTTGGAAACCTCCAATCCCAGGGAGGGGGTCCCGCCCCCGTGAACCGTCCACCACAGGCCCGAGGGCCCTGCAACCGTCCCTCACCACAGGGGCCCCGCCGGCCGTCCCCGGACCTCGCCTGGCCTGTGTCGGGGAGGGCTGGGCAGGGGCTCCTCCAGGCTTCCCTGGGCCCCAGGCCGGGGGAGCCCAACCCCTGTGACAACCCCCAGCCTCGGGCCACTGGCTGCCCCATGCTGTCCCCTTGGCCAGTCCTCCAGCCCCTCCGGGGAAGGGCTCAGGACGTGGACCACGAGCCAGTTCCCACACTGGGGGGTGTCCGCTGCACTGCGACCTTCCACCATGGCCCCCAACGCCCCAGATGCCACCTCATGGTCCCTCATGTTGTGGGGCGCACTGAATAGTGTCCCCCAAACTCATGTCCCCTGGGAACCTCAGAATCTGACGTGACTGAAAAGGACCGCGCGGTGGTGCCGAGAAGCCCGACCTGGGCTCAGTGGGGGAGGGTGCGCTCGGCCCACAGGAAGTCCGGGGGCAGCAGAGGGGCAGGCCCGGAGCCCAGCACACGGGGTCATGGTGCCGCAGGTGCCGGCAGGAGCCTCCACAGTCTGCAGGGAGGACTCCTGCAGACAGACCAGGTCTCCCCGCGCTGGGCCAGAACCTCTAGTCTCCGCTCTGCCCCCCGACACGGCGGACATGGGGCAGACACGGCCTTGGGCCTCACCGCTCCACCACGGGCCAGGCGAGCAGGTCCTCGGGCGCACCGGGCCTCAGGCCTTGCCCTCAGAGGGGTTGCCCGAGCCCACCGCTCAGCCAGCTGCTGGGGCCGTTTTTGTCAGGGGATGGCAACAGGGCCGCCTCCCTCCAAGACAGGCCCCTGTCATCTGTTGCAAAGTCCCAGAGGGGGGCCCCTGGGCCTCAAGTTTAGCCAGACAGGAGGCGCTTCCCAGCTACAGGCGAAGAGTCCCCAATATCTGGCCAGCTCAGCAGCCCCGGCACTGGGGACCAGGCCAGGAGATGCAGCCTCTGGGGATGCAGCCCACACCCGGGTCTGACGTGGAAGGGCCGGCTCGGATGGGGGCTGGGGCTGCCCTGGGCAGGGGCAGGAGGCTCCCTCTCCTCCAGGCCTGCAGGGGGTGGGGAGTTTCTGCGCAACTGTCTTAATCTGCACGCCCGTCACCACGCCAGGAGAAGCACGCAATTCCCCACCGGACGCCCAGGCTCCAGCAGACACAAGGGCCCCATTGTGTGTCCCGAGAGGGACCTGGGTACAGGGACAGGCCGTCCACACCCCACTCCCGCCCTCCGGTGTGAACAGGGACAAAAGCTGGGGGAGCTGGCCGGCGGGCACATCCTGGGCAACTGAGCGCCCTCTGCCCATGGCCCCTTCATCACATCCACCACCAAGTCCCCACCCATCCAGCCCTCTGTGGCCTAACCCGGCCAACACAGCTACCCACACCCGGGCCCCACCCCCCAGCTGGTGTGGTGGCTCCAGGACAAGAAACGCCAATGGGTCCCCACCCACCTCCCCCACCCCCCACCCCCGCCCATTTTCCCCAGGGCGGGAAAATCCAGACACGGGGCCTGGCCCCCAGCCAGGTGGGCAGTCTTAGCTCCCCCCACTGCCCTCACTCCTTCTGCCCCTGGTGCCAAGGAGGGGGAGTGGTCCAAAGTCAAGACAGGGTGGCCACCCCAGGAGCCTGAGGGGGACAGTGTGAGGTCCAGGCTGCAGGACGGCTGCCAGTCCAGGCACAGTCTAGCCCTGGGTGGACAATCTGGCCCAGCCCTGACTCCAGCACCGGACCCACGGGGCTCACGGGGCCGGGCAGGCTGCCCGAGGGAAACAGAGGCAGCCCACGCTGCAGGGGAGCAGCCGTGTCCAGAGGGGGGCATTCACCCGAGAACAAACTGGAGCAGGAATCTTGCAGATGCTGCAGAGTCCCGAGTTCAGAAAGGGATTGCGGGGGGCAGGGGACACGGGTGTTTCCGGCAGCAACAGAATTATGAACATTATGATTCAAGCTGAACAAAAGCTCTTTGCTGTCCTGACTGAAATTTGTTTTTACAAAAATCAGGTTTCCCTGTGTTTCCTCCTCTGGCAGGAAGAGGACAGTCCCAAGGCAACCTGCTGGAGGGCGAGGCCGGGGGGTGCAGACGGACCTGGGTCCTCACGAGCTGAACTCCCTGTGAGGATGGGGGTGACCAGACCCGACTACCTCCTGGCTGCTGGTCACCAATTCCACACTGCGAGCCAGGGTGTCCCAAGACATCCCAGGACCCTGAGGACCCTGGTCTGCCTGTTCCCGCCCAAGGCGCAGCCCCTGGCTGATGCGGTGGCCGAGGGTGCGGTGGAGCAGAGCTGGAAGGGGCTGGGCTCGTCCCAAGGGCCGGGAGCCTGCTCAAGGCTGCACACCAGTCTACACAGGGGATCAAGACCCTCTGCCCAGATGGTCTGGATTCTTGGTTCGACTTTAAGAGGCCAGTGCAGACCAGCCCCATGGAGCTGGCATGTGAGGGCAGGCACCCTGGCAGCCTCCACAGCCCCACGTGCACCCGGTTCTTCTGAACCATGAGTGCCCCCGACAGCCTATGTGAGGTGGCTGTGTGGCCTGTGGGTGGGTGCGGTGGGGAGAGCAGAGCAGTCAAAACTGCAAGGATGTCATAGGCAGATACCCCAGGATGTGCATGTGGGGGCACCGGGCACAGCGGCCCCCAGGGCGTGCGAGGGGCAGGGTCAGCCATGGGGAGGGGCCGCTGTCTGGCCAGGACTGCTTGCTGAAGGCCAGCCTGCTGGGTGGACCTGCCAGCCCCGTGCCCATGTGGGTTGTAGCCACGTGGCCCCCCACAGGAGCAGCCTCCAGGGCCCACTGGGAGAGGCTCCATGGAGACCCCTGTCCCACCTGCACCCCAGGGAGACTGAGGGGTGCTCTTGTGTCCTCAAGGTGATCATCTCTCCCGCTGGGGCCATGGTTCACCTCAGCCACGCCACTTCCAGAGGCCGTGCCACAAAAACCGAGAGCGCCCCCGCCCGCCAGGCACCTCTGCCCAGAGCCGGTGCACCGGGTCCAGACAGCAAGGAGGCTGTCCCAGGCTCCCCACCACAACCCAGCCATCGCCCCGTGTACCCCGACTCACCCTTCCCGATCTGGATGAAGCCCAGCAGGATGATGAGGGACAGCGCCCCCAGCTTGGCAGCTGCGAAGACATTCTGCACCGAGGTGGCGACCTTCACGCTGTAGCAGTTCACGGCCGTGAGCAGGACTGAGGAGACAGCAGGGCAGAGGGGGTCAGTGTCAGCGGGGAGCAGGTCCTGGGATGAGGCGACACCCCCAGGGCCCTTAGCTCCTTCTAGGACTCTGGCTTCCTGGGGCTCCTCTTACCCAGGGGCTGGTCTCCAGGGTCAGAGCCGAGACCCACAGGTGCCCCCAGGCGTCATAAAGGGTCTTTCAGCCTCTTGAGCAGGCCAGGAAGCCCCCTCCCCTCCCACCGGCACCCTGCCGATCCCCAGGAGGCAGGCCCTGCACCGCCCACCTCGCCCGCCCAGCTGAGGAAGGGGCCCTTGCTGCAGAGAACCTTCCAGACAGCCAGAGAAAACAGGAACATCCTGTTAGCACAAATTCCCTTGCCAAGCAAGTGGGCCACCTGAGGCCCAGCCCAGCCTCCACGCAGGCAGCACCAGCTCCAGCGCAACAGAGATGCCTCCCCTGACCCAGGGGACTCATGGTGTTAGGGGGAAAGGATGTCCTGAGCTAATCCCATGCAGGCTTTGTGGACGCCACCCCCACTCCAGACTAAAGCCATCAAGACTCTGGGAAAGACAAATCCCATCACCACCAAGGGAGGGTGGCTGGGACCTGAGGGTGGAGTTGGGCAGCCAGGTTGGATATAAAAAACCAAACACGTGGGCCTTGGGCTCTCTCTGGCTCGCGATCGCTCGCCTCCTGGCTTCACCGCTCCTGGCTGGCGGCCAACTCTGAGAGCGCCATTTTGGGATTCCTGATCGGCGGATCGGGTAGGACTCATTTAAAACTTGGTCTCCCACTTTGCTCCCTGAGCTGTACATTTCCTCATTTCCCCTTCCCTTGTCAATAAACCTTTTATTAACCTTTCACGTGTGCCTGCAGTAGAGCATGGATAAGTCCTTTTAAGCGCGCAGGTGAGGACCCACAGTCAGGCACCCCGTTTTGTATTGGGGTTGCTCTACAACAGTTGGTGTGCACCGGAAGGGAAGCGGGGGGGGGCCCACAGGTGTGCAGGAGACCCACAGTGTTCAGCATCTTGCTCACACAGACACCCCATGGACTCACAACAAGGCAGACTTGAAAATAAGGCGCTGGTCACTCCCACACTGACCTGTCCCATTTCGCCACCCTCTCCCTGGCCCGCAGCTGGAGGGGAGCCCCCAGGGTCCAGAACCCCACTCCCTGAATGCAGCACCATGATGCTTGGAAGCAGCCCAGGGCCTAACCCCCCAGGAAGCCAGCCCAGCGGAGGGCTCTGCCTGGGACGGCCGCAGGTAAGGGGCCTGGGAGGCCCCTGCTCTTCCCACACCACCAGCTGAGGCAGGTGGCCCTGGGGGCTCCCCCCAACTACATGTGTCCTTTGTGATGTCAACTCGAAGGCTGGGCCTGGGACTAAGTGAACCCACGCTGACTGCCCGGGGACCGCCAGGCAGGAGGCGAGCAGGAAGCTCCCCACGTGCTCTGGGTTAGGGCACCCGCAGCCCATCCCCCTGGGAACTGCGGCCCCACCCGGCTCTCTTCAGCGCCTCCACCTGGGTGAGACGGTTAGGGTCAAAGGGTCTGGAGGGCCGCCGGCGGTCCTGCCCTCAGGCCCGCCCAGACCCTGTCCAAGGTGCTGCGGCAGACCCCGGCGCCGACCCAGGCGTGGCCACGACCCACCCCCAGCATGGTGCGGGGGTGGGGAGAGGCCCGAGAAAGTCCAGCCCCAAGAGACTCTCTGGGGGCCTCGGCCCAGGCGGACACCTGGCGCGCCCTCAGCCCCGCCTGCCCGCGCTGCCGCAAGAAGCTGGCAGATTGCATCACGCAGGCCGGGTGGGCGAGGCCCGAGCCCAGCCCCGCCCGAGCCCAGCCCCGCCGGCAGCGCCTTGGGGGTCCCTCTGCCGGCCGACCAGGGCTGAGGCTGCGGGCTGAGCGGCCAAGGAAGCCTCGGGGGTCTCTGCATGGCGGGGAGCCCCCCCAGGAGCGAGGGGGCCCGCCCTGCGTCCCGAGCCCGGGCACCTGCCCAGGCGCCCTGTCTCCGGCGCTCTGGGGTGGGCGTGGGGTGCAGGACAAAGGCGGCCACTATGGCTCTCCGATAAAAAGACTGGGATGGAGTTTGCCGCTCAGGGGCTTTGGCTGAAGAGCAAGCGACTCTTTGTTATTGTCCACCCAGTTCCTTTTTAAATATCAAAGTAGGACGTTATCTTAAACAAAGAAGAATTCATGGGGGCGCTGTCCTCCACCTCCGCCCCCCCCAGGCTGGGAGGGGCAGGGGAGCAGCCTCGCACTGGCGGGAAGGGCGGCTCAGCTGCTGGTAGTGGGAGGAGCCAGCGCTCCCCTCCCCCAAAGGAACTCTGGAGAAAGTTCTCTGCTGGGCCGAGGGGGAAGAGCAGGTAAACACGGGGCACCACCCCAGGCCTGCTTCTCGGGGGCTCTCCATGCTGGCACCCCCAGATAAGCATGGCTGGGCTCTGGCTGGGTGACAGCTGGGGTCCCAGAGATAAGGCCCCGGGGAACAGCGGGTCTCTGTGCCTCTGCAGAGGGAGGCGGGAGCAGCGGGATGGGCTGAGCAGAGCCTGTCCCCTTAAGGGAGTCCACCCCAGCCTGCTCTGGCTACAGGGTGCCCCCCAGCCGGCAGCAGGGGCTCCCAGCGCCCGTGGTGGGGGGTCTCCCGCGCGACCTCAGGACAGCGGCGCCTGGAGTCCTTGTGGGCAGGCCACGTGGGGCACCCCAAGGAGAGCGGCCCAGGGAGCCTGTCTTCCTTAAAAAAAACCCAGCACAGAAAAGCAGCCAAAGCAGACCACCAAAGCCGCTGCCCCGCTGAAGGCAAAGCCCGCAGGGTGTCACCAGGCCCTGGGTGGCATGGGTGCCGATAACCAGCAGTGCCGGCCCTGCCGCACTGGGGACATGGGCGGGGACGGAGGGCGGAGAGCGGGTCCCACCCAGCCTGCAGACTAAGGAGGAAGTCCCAGCCACTCTGGGTTCCCCCAGCCAGGCTCTGACAAGGTGCTCCTGGCAGGGTTTTGACGCTGGGTAAAGAGGCCCAGGCCTGGCCAGTCTGGGCGCCCCGGGAGAGTGTGGCTTCACACTCATGGGCCCAGCCGTAGGGAGCTGGCTGTGAGGACTGGGACCCAGGCCATGAGCACCGGAGCCTCAGTTTACCCAGAGTCCCATCGCCAGGCCCGGGGCAGGAGAGGATGTGGCAGGGGCTGCGCTGGTTCCGGGAAGATGGGCCACCGCCTTTCCCTGGGGCCACTCTGCTCAGGTGTTAGGACCCGGCAGACATGGCCCGGGGGGCTGCCCCGAAGGAGTCCAGTGGCTCCAGAGGCCCTCTCCTGCCTCTGCCAACCCCACCTGAGGGGTCACACAGGGCTCCAGGGTGCTCGGTGGACAGGGGCCTGGGATCAGCAGCCCCCTCCGCTCTAAGCCAGATGTCCATGGGCTGGGGTGTCCCCCGGGCCCTGCATTTCTCATTGCCAGCCTTGAAAGTGTTAGGGGGAAATGATGTCCCGAGCTAATCCCATACAGGCTTTGTGGACGCCACCCCCACTCCAGACCAAAGCCATCATCAAGACATTGGGAAAGACAAATCCCATCACCACCAAAGGGAGGGTGGCTGGGACCTGAGGGTGGAGTTGGGCAGCCAGGTTGGATATAAAAACCCAACACGTGGGCCTTGGGGGGCTCGCTATCGCTCGCCTCCTGGCTTCATGGCTCCTGGCTCCCGGCCAGCTCTCAGAGCGCCATTTGGGATTCCAGATCCGCAGATCGGGTAGGATGCATTTAAAACTTGGTCTCCCACTTTTCTCCCTGAGCTGTACATCTCCTCATTTCCCCTTCCCTTGTGAATAAACCTTTCATTAACCTTTCGCGTGCGCCTGCAGCAGAGCATTGATATGTCCTTTTAAGCGCGCGGGTGAGGACCCACATTCAGGCACCCCGTTTTGTATAGGGGTTGCTCTACAACAAAAGCTCCCACCCGTTACGAACAGTCTCCTACCAGGCTGGCGGCAGGTGCGGGGGGCTGGTGTGTGCCCTTCCCACCAGTGAGGGCTCAGGACCTGCTGCAGGTGGGTGGGGATGAGCCCCAGGAGGACCCACCTTCCTCGGGCCCAGGAAGCGGTGCCGGTGCCCAAGAACGCCGAGCCGTAGGGAAGGGGCGGCCCAGGGATGCTCACGTCCCCCCACCGGCCACCGCCGGGACCTTCGCCTGTGAGACTGAAGGAAGATCAAGCAGTCCCAGGAGCGCCGCTGTGCGGGGGGGGGGGGGGGGGGTCTGCAGAGGGAGCCAATCCTGCGGGGGGTGGGGGGGGTCTGTGGCCGGTGGGGAACCCCAGGGCAGGAGGAGGGAAGCCTCAGCCTCTCCCGCGCCTGCTGAGCCACGGGTCTGCAGCAGGAGGAAATGACTAACGCGGGTCAGCTCTCCTGGCCCCGCCACGGCCTGGACGCCTTCTCTCCCGGGCGACGGGGCTGGTCTCGGCAGCCCCACGAGCTCCCCGGCCCAGGCCGGAGCGCCGCCAGCACCCGATGGGACGCGCCAGCCGAGACACGGTGAAGAAGGCAGAGTCAAAAGTCAGCTGAGGTTGGGGCCCCCGACGGCCTCCTCCCACTTTCCCCACCCTCAGACACAGTCCGGGAGAATGGAGTCCCGGAGGGTCCCGGCCCCGGAAACTGCCAGGACCCGCAGGAGGGCCACCCCTCCTCTCTGCTGCTGCTCGCGGCCTGGCCATGCGCGTCCACGCTGCCTGCGAGGTGGCCGCCGCCACAGGGACGCCTCCCTCACACCCCAGCCCTCCACCCCCCGCCAGGCCGGCACCTGTGCTCTCCCACCACCTTGCCCCAGGCCCCGGCCAGCCTGAGCACGGGCCCTCCCGGGAGGATGGCAGGGGCTGAGACCCCGAGTCTGCGCCGGAACCCCCTGCTTAGAGCCCCGGTCCCTGTGACTACAGGATGGGAGGAGGCTGGACACAGACCCTCACCCGTGCGCCTCGGCCCGCCACCGCCACCCACCTTGGCCCTCGGCCCGGGCCCTGCCCCTGCCCGTCCCCCAGCCCCAGGGCACATCGGTCAGCCCCTCCCATACCTGGCCCCCCTCTGCAGGTCCCTCCTGGTCCCCACCGGGCTCCTGGTGATTAAAGACAAGCCAGGGGGAATCTGACCCCAGGCCAAGGGCACAGTCGGCCGCCCCAGTCGGGCTCTGCTGACAGCAGGTCCCCGTGAGGAGCCGACCCGGCCCACAGCCTGTGGCCCTGCAGCGGCTCCCTTCTGCGCGACTGCACTTCACAGGACTCAGAGGTCAGCACCTAGGGCAGGGGGACCAGGCACAGGGCACCACACAGCAGGGATCGGGTTACGAGGAGCAGCGGGGCGGGTGGTGCTGATTCCTCACCTTGCAGGCAACCCCTACCAGGAGGGGCTGGCACCGGGGAAGGGCAGGAGGAGCAGGTCTGAGGGACCCCACACCCGCTGGAGTCTCCCTGGAAAGCTAAAAAGCATCCCACGGGCTTTATGAAAAAGCCTGGCTCTCCAGTTGTGGGAGGTGCGCGCCCCAAGAAGACGGGACAGATGAACCTGAGGTCCTCAGGGGCCCCACCCAGGCCAGGAGGACGCAGATGTGGTAACCGAAGCCCCCGGACCCTGTATCTGCCGCCCTTGGCAGAGACACACACGTGTCCTCGCAAGCCTGATGCCAGAGGGCTCCCTGCCCACCTCTGCCTCGGTTTCCCCAGCTGTGAAGTGGCCGAGGAAGTGAGAGCTCGTGTCTAAGCTGGCAACAGAGCTTGAAAGCCCAGGTCTGCTTCTACCGTCACGGGGCACCCCCTGGGCGGGGTCCGGGAGCCGGTGACTGCGGAGCCGGGGCAGCTGGTGCGCATTCTGGGGCCGTCTGCACATTCCAGCGGATTATCAAAAGGGTCCGTGACCCAGGGATAAAGGGTCAGCCGCGCCCCCCCCCCCAGGTCACATGCTCCTGAAGGACCCCAGGGGCCTCCGCTCCCGTGAAGGGACGCGTGACTCCCGGAGGCGGGAGCCGTTTCATGTCTGGCCGGGAAAGTGTGGTTTCCGCGCTAATTACCAGCCTGGCGACAGCACTCAGCTCCCAGCTCAGAACTCAGCTGCCAGCCCCTTGGAAACACCCAGAAGCCTCTGCCTCAGGCAGCCAGGGGCCGGCCTGGCGGCTGGCAGGCGCCCAGGCCAGCGCAGGGTGTAGGCAGCCTGGGGGCAGCCGCGGCGGATGTGCCCGATGGGGCCCACACCCCAGGAGGGGGGTCACTGCCAGGGGCTGAAGGAGGTGGGCCGGGCGTCGGCAGGACAAGGGCACAGGGCAGATGCCGCCTGGCGGACTTCCCTGGGGATCCCCCTCTCCTTCCCCTTCTGAGGCGAGAGCGAGTCTGGACCGTGAAGATGTCGCAGGCGAGGCGGGTGGGTGGCGCGGTGCGGGCAGGGTCGAGCCCACAAACCCCAGCCGCTGTGACGGCCCAGTTCAGAGCTGGGGGCGGTGGCAGGAGGTGCCAGTAGCTTCCCAGAAGCAGAACCAGGTCTGTCCACCGGACCCCTGGGCACAGGCCTCAGAACAGCAGCTGGGGTCCCTTCTGGGGCTGAAGGCCCAGGTAAAGGGTAAACTCTCTACAAGCCTCGCAACCCCGCTGATCCCCACCTCCACGAGAAGGCAGGACACGCTTCCCTGAGCCACAAGGGGTACAGGGTACCCCCGCCGTGACGGGCTGCCTGACTGTGCGTCCTCACCTGCGCACTTACAGTAAGAGTCAACGGGGAGGGACGGGGCCCATAAAACCTATTTGTGGGGTGTGTTCAGGACATCACTCCCCCAAACACGACCACGCTGGGGGGACCCAGAGTCCATCCCCAGCCACCGGCTATGTCCGGTGAGGCTGAAGGATGCCACTGCCCCACACAGGCGTGTCCCGGCGGCCCTCCCAGCAGGCCAGGCCCCTCCGCCTGGAACGGGGGAGGAGGCGGCAGCCCAGTTCAGTCACCCCCTCAGCCCAGGGAGCGCCCTCCTTGCAGACTGTGCCAGGCCCACAGGTGGCACATGCCGGGTGAAGGGTAAACTTCAGGAGCACAGCTTTATCCCTGGCCTGAGACCTCAGGGAGGGAGAACATGGGGGACTTCACGGGGGCAGTGGTGGAAGAGTGCTCAGCAGGGTGCACCTCCTCTTCTTATAGAGAAATTCTAGGACCCAGCTCGCGCACCCTAACATAAACACAAACTTCGTGTGGCTTTCCAAGGTGTTCTCAGATGTCCCCTGCAAGGGTGCCCCTCCCCGGGCGCCCGGAACCTCTCCGTGCCAAGCGGGGCAAATTCTGAGCGAGCGGTGGACCCGGGCGAGCCCCTTCCGTCCTACAGCCAGGCCGACTCGCCCGGCTCTGCCCGCAGCCTACGGCTCCCTGGTATCACAGACCCTTCCGGGCCCGCGCCTTCTCACGCGGCGGTTCAGAGAAAAGGAACCGGGGAGGGTGGCTAGTTGCCCTCCCCATGTGGGAAGGGGGCATGGTGCACCCCTCTACACTGCCGGTCATGCTGCGGGGCCCCGAGTGCTGCCGGGGCGGGTGCCCCCAGGCCCCAACCCCAGATCTGCCCCCACAATTGACAAACTTGAGGCCAGAGGAGACCAGAGAGCGGGCCGTCTAGAGCACAGCTCTGTCCCTAAGGTGGGGGGAGCACGGACCCCATCTCGCAAGGAGGACGCTGGTTGGGACAGCTGAGCTGACCAGGCCCCTGGCCCCCGAGGCCGGCACCCATCCCCACGGCCAGCCCCGCTCGAGTCCTCAGTCCAGCTGCACGTGCTGCTGTCACGCCCGCTCAGGGTCTGGACCCACATCGCTGAGACTCCCCAAAGGGCACATACTGTCCCCTCGGCCCATGTGGCTGCTGCTGGGGTCTGAGGGCTGGGCGAGGCCCTGGGAGCTGGCAGGCCAGTGCTGCCCACTGCCTTCTGCTCACCCCCCATAGAGCAGGCGTTGAAGTTCAGGGACCCCCACCCCAGCAATGGTCCCCAGGCTGAAAGCCCCAAGGGCAGCACAGGTGGTGGGAGTCAGGGCCCTGCAAGCACTGAGCCGTGCCCGGACCCCACCAACAGGACCCCAAACTGTGCAGACCGCGGGCTCGCGCGGCCCCAGCGGACTGCTGTTTGAAAGTCAGCGCCGGCAGGTCCACTCCCAGGCCTCCTTAAGGTCAGCCGGGGTGGGGGTCAGGACCGGCCACAGTGCCCGCCACAGGCCAGTGTAGGTCAGTGGCATCTGGCACATTTGCCCCTGGGGCTGGTGAGAAACCTACTTTGCCAAGAAGCAACCCTGTCCGGCCGGTCCCTCACCGGAGGCCGTGTGCCACCCAGCGCCCCGCGTGCCAGCCACGGCCAGTGCCCTCAGCACCCTTGGGACACCTCAGCCCACCCCCACCCTCTCAAATTCACCCTCCGTCAGGCACTTTTGCTCCCTCTGGGCGCCGCGGGGGCTGGGGCAGCGGGGCCCGCTCTGCCCGGCTTCCTGCGCCCGGCACCAGTGAATGAATGGGGTGTCGCGGGCGTCCCTCCGGGCGGAAGTTGCCTCCACGTGGCGTCAGCGTTGGGGCCCGGGGAGGCCGCGGAGGGGAAGCGGCCGGGCAGGGCAGGGTCCTGCGGTCCCTCGGCCGGCCGGCAGCCGAGCGCAGGGGGTCTGGGCCGCCGCCCGGGGGCCGGGGGCCGGGGGGCGGGGGCCGGGGGGCGGGGCCGGGGGCCGGGTACTCACGCACGCACAGGCAGGCCACGAGCTTGGCGGCCGCCTCGGGCACCGGGCAGCTGGGGAAGACCGGCTTGAGCAGGTAGGTGGCGAAGACCTGCGCCACGATGTACTGCGAGGACGGCCGGATGATGAGCAGCTCCACCCAGAGCTTGAGGAAGGCGGGCAGCGCGCCGTACACCTCCAGCACGTAGGCGTAGTCGCCGCCCGACTTGGCGATCGTGGTGCCCAGCTCGGCGTAGCACAGCGCGCCCGCGATGGACAGCAGGCCGCACGCGGCCCACACGGCGAGCGCCAGCCCGGGCGAGCCCGCCTCGCGCAGCACGCCGGTGGGCGTCACGAAGATGCCCGAGCCCACGATGGTGCCCACGATGATGGCCACGCCGCTGGGCAGCGCGATGGTGCGCCGCAGGGCCACGCCCTCGGCCCCGGCCCCGGCCCCGGCGCCCGCCCCGGCCGCCAGCATCCGCTCGCGCGCCTGCCGCTCCTCCTCGGCCGCCGCGGGCGCCGGCGCCGCGCGCCGCTTCGGGCCCGGGCCCGCCATGCCGCCCGCCGCCCGCCCCGCCGCCCGCCCCGCCGCCCGCCCCGCCGCGCCGCCGCCCGCCCGCCGCTGCCGCCCGCCGCTCCGTCCCCTGCCCGCCCGCCCCGCCGCCTTTATAGGGCGGCCCGCCCGCCCCGCCCCGCGCGTCATCGCCCCGCCCCGCGACACCGGCCCCGCCCCGCGCCGTAGGCCCCGCCCCCGCGCCGTAGGCCCCCCCCGCGGGCACCTGTCCTCCCCCCTCCCCCCCCCGCGGCGCCCCCCACCCCCCACCCCCACCCCCGGCCCGCAGCCCCGGCCTCGTGCACGTGGGGCGCCCGCCCGCGGCCCCGCGGCGCCCCGCCTCCCGACGCCCTCCAGCGGCCGAGCCCGCGCCCCAACCCCCCCCCCCGCACCTCCCGGCCTGGGCCCCCGCGGGAGAGGGGTTCGCGGGGCGGCCCGCGGCGTCCCCAGCCGACCGTGCGACCCGCCGCGGCACACGGGCCCTGCGGCCCCGCCGTCCGCTCTCCCGGGCTTGGCAGGCGCGAAGACTGGGGGGGCAGACTGGAGGGGGACACGGGGGGGGGGCAGACAGTGGAGGGGGAAGGCAGTGGGGCCACCCGGCCTGCAGGACACAAAGGCCCCGCGGGGAATCACGGCAGAAGCCCGAGGGCGGGGCTGCACCCCAGTGCACCCCAGTGCTGCTGCGGCAGGCCCAGAAATCCCATCTTCCCCCCAGGGGAGCGTCCTGGCCCAGGAGCGACACTCGCAGGGAAGAGCTTTGCGAAGCAGCGGCCCGGCTCTGGGACACCGGCACCGCACCGGTGCCGCCAACACCCGCCGTTCCAGAAAGAGCCCCCTCAGGGCTCAGGAATTCCAAGCAGGCTCAGGGTGCAGGTGCTTCGCCTGCATTCCCCAGTAAATGGGGAGGCACCACAGGCAAGAAGACCACTGAGGGGCCCAGTGGTCAGAAGAGGGGGTGCCAGAGGCCCAGTCACCAGATCTGGAAGCCACCACGAATGTCAAATACCTGCCAGTTCAGTGGACACAGACAGGACAGCACCGGGAGTCCATCTTGCGGGACTTCAGCCGATGCTCCGCACCCCCCAACCTCCCCACCCCAACGTGTCGGCCGTTCACCTCAGCGTTGGGAGGGGCTGGAATCTCAGCCGCAGAAACAACACAAACGTGGGCTTTGTAGGTGCCGCCTGAACCGCCGGGCAGTAACCAGCATCTGTCTCCTTGTTCTTCTGGCCTCCGGTGGCCCGGCGCAGGGCAGAGGGGGGCGGTCACCTGGCCAAGGGCTGGTCCAGGTCCCAAGCTTCTCTGTCCTTGAGCCGCTGCTGCACGGGGCCCCAGCGCAGGGCAGAGTGCTCCCCCCAGCGCACGGAGTGACCCTTCTGACCACCACGAGTCCAGGCACCACAGGGACCGGGGAGGACCCAGGGCGCTCCAACCCGGCTGTTTCTGGGCTAGAACTCAGGAGGCAGGTGGAGGACCCAGCCTGGACCCAGATGGGTGGCTGCCAGGCAGGGAGATGTGTCCCCAAAGGGTGCCCCAGGCCGGAGCACTTCCGAGACCCCAGGGCTGCCCCACCGCGGCTGATCTCCACCTGGTTTTCATCTGATAAGGCCCCAGTCGTCCTCCAGCCACCAGCTTTGATGAGCACAGACCTCCCGACAGGCCCATCTCAGATATGACAAGGGTAAGAGGCATTTAATGCCTGAGGCTCCAGGCCTGGGGCTTGAAGCTGCTCTGGGCACTCACCCTCCAGCTGGGCAGCCACTTATTTTTATTTTATAAAAATGAAGCTGCCTTTTAACTGTATCTGACGGATCTATCCTGTAAGTCACGGGAGCAGCACTGAAAGCGCAAAGCAAAACAGCTGGGTGGATCCCAGTGGCCGCTGCCAGGCACACAGGCCTGGAGAAGGCCGTCCCGGGACTCAAAGGAAGAGCCAGAGGAGGGGTGCTGCCGTGTCGGGGTCACCGACTCCACGCTCTCTTGATGAGGCGAGCTGGAAGGGGGCGCCGGGTTAGAGCCAAAAATTCCCAAGCTTGCTTCCCACTGAAGGCACAGGCTCTGGGAGCAGGGAGGGTGCAGCTGCCCGCCGCGCCGAGCCTTGGCGGCGAGCACCACCTGCTGGCGACGCCATCACAGGCGCTCCCGCTTCGGCCTCAAGTCAGGGCTTGGAGAGGGCTTCTGGGGGGTTTCCCTCCAAAGCCTGAAAACATGCGGGTATCCTCTCGCACCCAGTAATTGCGCTTCGACCAGTTCGTCTGAGGGCGCGTGCGGTGTCGGGCTGGGTGGCTGCTAAGTGGCGCAGCCAGCGTGCAGAGCGGGGGCACAGGCACCCTCTGTCTCAGGCGGGCCGAGGGGCGGCTGAGCAGCAGGGCGGGCGGGGCCCTTTCCCAGAGCCATCTGTGGTGGAGAGCTGGTGGCCGGAGTGGCCCATCTGGTGTCCCCGCTTCTGTTCTGCGGGAACCAGCTCACTCCCTATTTCTCCGATGCAGGGTGTAACCCGAGATCTGGCTGCTGCCCCTGGGCAGGATGCTGCCCAGCCTGCAGGGGGTGGGGAGGGCTGTGGGGAGGTTGCGGCCTGGCGGTAGCTGCCCCCTTTCCAGAAGCCTCTTTCTCTCGGCGGGCGTCTGGAGGTTTGGCCGGCAGCCCGGGTGTCCGGCCCAGACAGCAGCTCACAGCGTTTCCCGCGGCTCTCCTGTCCCGAGCCTCAGTGTCCTCAGGCCCCTGGTGGACCTCGCCTTGCCACCTGCAGCCACGCACACTGGGACCCACGGAGTCACCTCCCCTGGGACACCTGGCGCCCCCCACACCCCCACTAGCCTTTGCTCAAATGTCAGCTCAAATGTCCGGGGGCCGAACACCCCCGCCCCGGAAGTGCCCGGGCCCCGATCCTGCCCCCTGGCCCTCCGCCTCCTCCAGAGCACCGCACACCACAGACGCACCCCGGCTGTGGGTCAGCCCCCCGCTGACGCCAGCTCACAGGCCCGGCCTGCCACGCTGCCCTCGCTGATGCCCTGAGGCTGGCACACTGCCCAGGGGCCGGGGCGAGGAGCGACAGCAGCTGTGCACGTGGATGGGGTGTTGCACTCTGACATGACAGAACAGGGCTGGGGCGCGCCAGGGGCTCCCCCCAGGGGGCCCGTGTTTGGCGTGCAGCCTATGATCTGTGTTGTGTTCAGGGACCGACAACACCTGTGGGGCGGCCCCCCCGGTTTCCAGAATTCACTGAAAAAGATCAGAAGATTTCGCTTTGCTTAAAAGTAATTCTCCTATTTCAGTGCTACTAAAAACAACATCCCCAAGTTGACAGAGGAAGCCTGGCCGGGAGAACGTGCTCCACCGCGGACAAACTTGCAGGCTTGATCCTCAGTGCCTGCTGGGGAGCGTATCTAAGTGTGGAGGAAACAGAAGACCTGTTTTTCCTGTTGACACACACTGTAACATTTCCACAGATGGGGCGCCAGGCTCCGTGCACTGACGTGTGTGGACAGCTGGGTCTCACGCTGGCCCTGGCCGCCGGCAAGGAGAGCTTCCCACACCCAGTCCTGCAGGGCCGCGCTCCGTCCACGTCCAGGAAGCTCTCGGCTCCAGGGGTCTGGAGGAGCAGGTTCCCGAGCTGCTTGCCCGGCTCCTTCTCCCTCCTCGGGGCTGTGGGCACAGCTGCTGGGGGTGTTTGTCACACACACCACCACGCCGGGAGCCCTGAGCTGCCTGGCTGAGCGGAGAGTTCCTACACGGGCCGTTGTTGCGAGCACCCGGAGACCTTCATGTCCCGACAGCCCCATGCTGCACCGGGCTGTTCTGTTTGCTCCAGGACTGCTTCATGCTGTTCCGTGCTTGTTCTGTGCTGTTCTGTGCTGTTCCGTGCTGTTCCGTGCAGCTCCATGCTGTTCCATGCTGCTTCGTGCTGTCCCACGCCTGCTCCACGGTGCTCAATACCTGCTGCCTCTTGCCATTTTCTCTGCACTTCTCAAATAATGGGAGTCAGTAATTCTCTGATTTGCGGTGCATTTCTAGGGTGCAACCTGCAACGGCCCACACCTTGCCTTTCTTCTCCTACCCGCCGAATGTTACATCACTGCTAGACACACCTGCTTTGGCGGAGGAACCCCCCGCCCTCGGGCTGCCCGAGCAGGGCAGAGTGCGTGCCGGGGCGGAGAGGCAGCCTCGGGAGGAGTGCAGCGCCATGAGGAGAGGCTGCCTCTTGGGGCGGGGCCGGGAGAGTGGCAAGGGGAGCGTGGGCTGTGCCTGGGGGCAGATGGAAGTGACTGCAGCACCCAGGGAAGGGCGCGCCCGGGAGGGAACAGCACGCCAGGGTCCGGAGGCAGCGCCCGGCACCGTCTCCCCTGGATGGAGCGACCATGTGGGACACCGCGCCCGTGGGCTGGCGCCCCGGGGCACCACGAGCTGGGGACGAGCCCGGGCACAGACCAGGGCTGGTGGGGACGAGGGGGCACCCCGGCAAGGAGCAGCGGGGACGTGTCACCCAAGCACGCCCTGGCACAGGTGGCGTGGAGGGAGCAGACAGGGCTTCCGGCCTCGCGTGCGGGCAGTCGGAGTTCTGGACAGGGACGCGAACGGCCGAGGAGAGGGGATGCTGCTGGAGCAGGGCCTGGGACCAGGAGCCGGTTCGTGGCTCCGGGGGAGGCGGGCAGCGGCGGAGCGAGGGCCGGTCTTGGGAGGGAAGCTGCGAGGTGGAGTTGCCCGGAGGGCCGGGAGCCGGGAGCTGCCTGGGCGCTGGGTGGATGGCGCCGGGGCGGGGGGGCATGCCAGCAGAGGGGACAAGTTCTACAGAACGGGGCCTGCTACTGCAGGTGTGCAGCTGCGCCCCGGCTTCCCGGAGGTGGGCTGCTTCGGCTGAGAAGAGGAGGAGAAATGGGGTGGGGGAGCCGAGGCCCAGGCCTCTGGAACAGCTGGTGCGGCCCTGGGGCAGGAAGGGCTGGTTTCTGGGACGGATGGGCAGGGGGTGGCGGGGGCAGGCCAGGCCGCTACCTGGGAAGGGCACCTGGAGGGTGTGGGCCCGGCCCCCGGAGAGGAATTCTCTGCCCAGCACCCGGAGCGTGGGGGGAGGGTGGCAGTTTGCCATCCACCTCGAGGCTTCTCACACGTGTGCATTTCCGCAACGTGAAAAAAATAACATAAAAGCAAAGGGAAGAAGCCTTGACCTTTAGAAGCCCGGCCAGAAACGCCACAATGCCATCGGGGGCCTCCACCGCGTCCTGGGGGAGCCCGCCCCGCCCGGTCCTGCCCCTCGGCGGCTGCTGGGTGGGGGCGCCTGCCGAGCCCCCCCCCCTGTGCACATGTGCGAAGGGGTGAGCCCAGGCCCAGAGGCCCTTCTGTGATCCTGAGTGGGGGCCCCACGCTCACCGTCCCCTCCCTGCCCTGCTCTCCCTGCGGGGACTCCGACCCTGAGCCTCCCTCTCCCCACGGAAACCCAGGACGCCTGCCCAGAACTTCCCCCAGCTGCTCTGACGTCAGCGGGCCGCCAGGCGTCCCCCAGCCCAGCCCAGCCCCCTTCCGTGGTGGCTCTGAGGGGGTGCGGGTGCACAGGGAACAGCCAGGGTCCGCGGGGTGTGCTGATCCCCAGCGGCCACCCTCTGTCACCTGCGAGTCTGCTTCCTGCGCAAGGTCAGAACTGCCCGGTCCGTCACCTATAGGAGCCCAACCCTGCAAGGTGCCTTTCAGTTCAACCGGGAGCAGAAGGCCGGGTCACACCGGGAAGGGCGGGCGGCACAAGGGGGGACGGGGATCGCCGGGGCCGCCGACTGATGTATGCATGACAGGGACCCTGGAAGCTGGTCAGTGGGTGCCTGTTGATGAGACTGGAACCACACGGGGCCGGGGGCTGCTTTCGATGACACCTGGTGGCCGAGCAGATGAGACTGGCCGGGCCCGCAGGCTCTGGTCCGCTGAGGCCCCGGCGACAGAAGCTCGTTCTCAGTGTCGCCGCCCTGTTCTCTTTGTCCTCCTGCCCACGTAAGTGACGCTGGGTGGCTGTTCCCGCAGTAAACAGGCCAGCATCCTGGCTGTGTGGCCTGCCCCACGACGCCCAGCGCCGGGTGGCACGGTGGCCCAGCCGCTATCATGAGCGGCTCTCGGCGAGCCGGACACGGCTTAGAAACAGCGCAGAAATGGTGGGTTTTGACACCTCAGGCCAGGTCAGGAGAGCGGCCCCGGCAAGGTCACGTGTGCGGTTCACGTTTTAGCTAATCACAGTGACCTGTGATGAGAATTCAGCCCCAGGCACACCAAGCTCTAGAACATTTCACTGGCACAGAAAGTGCCATTGGCAGTGCGGTCCCAGACACCCAGGGCACCCCATGCCACCCCTCACACTTTCCCCACCCCGAGACCAGTCAGCGCCCCCCCCCGCCCCGCACCTGGGCCAGGCAGCCTGACCTCTGACCCCCCAACCTGACATGTGCGCACAGGGCACGAGAATGGCCCAGACACCCCGTCTGACTGGGGCCCCACACCCACCTGCGTCACCTCACCTGGCGCAGGGACTCTGCAGGTGTGCTTCGGGGTCTGGAGAGGAGGATGATCGGGAGCACCCAGGGGCCCTTGTAATGGAGGGGAGTCCCTGTGGTCACTCCTAGGTGGCCCTGGGCTCCTCTAGCACCCACTGCCGTGGGGACATGGGGTGGCCTGCACTCTCTCAAGATGAGAATGAGCGTTGGCTCCAGCCCCCCTGAACCCCATACGTTTACAGGGAGCAGCCCCCCCGTGAGCCCGGTCAGAGAGGCCGTGGCGTCAATGAGAAGTCTGTGAGCCCGGTCAGCCGAGGTCGAGGCTGAGGCCACCAGCTCATGCAACGGACCGAGCGGAGCCAGGCCCTGTGTGACCCAGAGTCTGTGCGAGCCTCGAGCCCGGCTGCTGTGCACGGCGGCAGACGGCGCCTGCGGCCAGGGCAGCCCTCGTGACACCGGGGCCACGGCCTCTGTGCAGCCAGGCAGGGGCGCGTAGCGTGAGGCAAGCGCCATGTGCGCCCCACCTCTGTCTAGGCTTGGGACGTGGGGACTCTGCGCTGAGCTGTCCGTGGCCGACAGAGCTGACCTCCAGAGCCCGGAGCGCAGTGGGGGCACCAGGGTGGCCACAATGTGCAGACACGGAGGCCCATGGGCAGCTCAGGGCCGGGCCCCGCCGTGTCAGACGTGCACCCCCGACGCGCGCACTCTGAAGTGACTGCTTCCGCTCACTCCTGACCAGCAAGTCAGACAAGAGCCGCTTTCTTGGGTTAGCTGCGGAGGCTGCATGTGATCAGTGCATGAACCAGGGACACCCCCGACTCTGAAGCCCCCCCACCAGCCCGCTGTCTCCAATCAGGGCCTTGTGCCCTGGCCCCAGGCTGGGAAGGACGACCGGACCCGGCGGCTCCTCAGGGGCTGCAGCGGGCGGTAGTTGTTTACCATCGTCCTCTCTTCTTCGCCGGGGCCAGAAAACAGGAGCGAGCGGAAGGCGGCCAGCTGTGGGGAGCAGCCAGAGTGAGCCGGGCACAGGACCGCGGCGGCCGGGGTCCCTGCCACGCTGGATCCGGGCGCCTCGCCCCGCCTGGCCCATGCGGGGCAGCACGTGAGAAAATCCTCTGCAAGGGCAGCCTGTAACCGTCATGCCCCCAGAGACGGGGGCGGTTCAGGGGGCACTGCTCAGGCGCGGTTCAGGGGGCCTGCTGGGTGCTGCTGGGCGCGCGCCTGCAACAATCACTGCCGTCTGCACAGAGGCGGAGCGCGTGCTGGCCTTGCCCGGCTGCCAGGGACACTTGCCCCTCCTGGACGGGAGCCACGCAGGTCAGAGCGTGACAGCAGAGCCGCCCCCTCTCCCCCCGTCCCCCCGCTATGCCGACGTCCGGACTGCCGCGACGCCGGGACCCCGTCCACCCCAGCAGCCCTGCCTCACTGTCCACCCTCGCCAGCGCGGCATCCGCAGCACACAGGTGCGACCGAGCATGGCCCCGGAGCCCCGCACACCCCCCGGCTCACCTGGCTCGCAGCCACCTGAATGGGCTCCTTGAGGACGATCCAGGTGACCGACTCGGTGAGCGGCGGCGTGGTGAGGGAGCCGGGGTAGGTCCAGTAGTCCCGGCAGGCGGGCAGCAGGCAGGACGGCTGGAAAGGGCCCATGGCCGCCCGGGCGTCCTGGGGGACAGAACCTCAGGCTGCAGGCCAAGCCTGCGTGGCGGAGGCACCTCCACCTCAGCCACGAGGCCTCTGTGGGGACCCCGCACGCTGGGCTCCACCTCCCGTGAAGCGGCCCCTTCCGACAACCGCACTGGACCTGAAACACGCCTGAAAGCCCACAGCCAGGGGTGCTGCTCGGAAGGGGAGTCTGACCCATCACGCGCCCCCTCTTGCTCTCCAGCACACTGCCTCTGTGGGGGGCTGCCCTGGGGAGTGGGGTCCCTGCAGTTGTCAGTCTGGCTCGTGTCCGGCGCCGTGGCCTGGTCAGCCCTCGCGAGGCAGGGGCCAGCGCTCCCGCCCTGTGCTGGGTCACCTCTGCTCTCCCGCCCCAGGATGCTGACACCAGCGGCTCCTCCTATCTGAAGCAGCCCCCCAAGGCCGGGGGCTCCTCCGCCCTAATTCCTGACTCCTTCCCCGGGGAGGGCAGGCGTGGGTCTGGACGGGGTCCTCTTGGGGTGGGGCTGGGCTGCGCTAGAGGGCTCTGCCAGGGCCCCCTGCTCAGGTCTGTGGGGGTCTCTCCAGGCATGAACCCTGGGGTCTGCGCCTCTGAGCCCCAGCAGCACAGTGCAGCCGTCATCACTCACCCCTCCACTCAGTCACCGCTGCTTGTTGGCTCAGGCCCTGGGGTGGGCTGGCAGCCCCCCAGTCTGAGAGCCGAGAGAGTGGGAGGCCTGGCAGGTGCACAGCATAGCGAAGCAGAGAGAACGGACAGGACGGCGCGTGGGCGGGAGGCGTGACCCCTGTGGTGTGGTCCAGGGCCACGGGGGGGGCTCGACGGCCATCAGCACACCCACAGAACTACACACAGAAGCAGCTACTGTGTCGCAAAGTTAAAAATCCACCGAGATGTGGGGAGGCCCAGATGGAGCAGACTGTGGCGCCGGACAGCCCTGTGTCCCGAGGCTGGCCTCACTCTCGGGCGCTGCCTCTGACATTCCAGGGGGGGACACTGAAGCCCAGAGATGCTGGGGGGCCCAGAACCAGGCCGGTGGTGCCCTCGGCTACCTGCAACAACGGCTCTCTGCGTGCTGTGCCCAAGAGGCTCTGGTGTAGCCCCGGAGCACCCCTCTGGAGGACAGCAGACCCCGTAAGCAGCCCCTCCTGCAGCACCTTCCTGTCCCCGGGGACCAGGCCCACGAGGCAGCGCTGGCTGGGAAAACACCGCAGGTTGACTCTGGCCACAGACCAGGGAAGGGGCCGCCCAGCACCTTGACCTTGCCGCGTTCCTGTGCCTTGGCTGGCCGGCCGGGGTTGGGGGGGGGGTGGCCTGCCGGACATCACGGCAAGGGTGGCCTCCCAAGATCAAAAGGCCCCCGTGGGCCGGCGAGGAAGGGCCCCCAGCTTTCATCTGGCGCCGCCATCTCGCCATTGTCAAGACAGGTGGGAGCCCATCCGTCCCCACGCGACCCTTCCGTCGGGGTCCTTTGTTCCTCTCCAAGCAAATAAACGGTGTTTGTCTTGAAACTTCCATTTCCCCGTCCAGGTCCTTTCTCAGCGGACGGTGGGGAAAGCGGCAGGGGCGCCCTGGCTGTTTTTCAGAGCTGAGCCCCCCCGGGCGCCCCTCGAGGGGGGTTCCCAAATCCTTCCCTGCAGTGAGGCGGGGACACGGGGACCCACACCCCAGACGTGAGCAGCCACGTGCTTATGCCCACAGACACCCCGTCCCGCAGGGGGTCGCTCCCGGGACAGGCTGGCGTCTGTGGCAGCCGACCACGCGCGGGAAGACACTGAGCGAGGGACCTGCAGGCCGCGTCTGGGAGACTCGCTTGGGGCCCAGCTCCCTGACCTGCTGGGGAGGGGAGCCCGGGACGGCAGGGCTCGCTGGACTCAGGACGCACCTGCGGGACCGTGGCCGCAACCCGCAGGCGGCCCACCCCCAGTCGGGGCTGAGACCCTTCCCCGTGCCGAGCTTACCTTGTGCCTGATTTCCGGCAGGATGCCCACCAGCGACTGCAGCGCCTCGTGGGGGGCCCCCAGCTGCAGATACACAACACACGCCGCGAGGATGGCGCAGGCCCTGTGCCCCCATCCCTCCCGGCCCCACCTCCGTCCCTCCCCGGAGCGCCCGCCCCGCTGCGGCTACCTGCAGGAACACGGCCAGCACCGCCAGGCCCTGCTCCCCCGCCGCCGCCTCTTTGTAACTGCGGTACTTCGCAGAATTCCAGTGAACGAGGTGCAGCTGAAAGGCAGGCAGGAGGGGCACCCTCAGGACGCAGCCCGAGGTCGACAGTCGTCCTCTGCATGGCTGCTCCAAGGCTGAGGTCGCTGGATGATTTTAGGGGTAGAGCAGCGGCCGCAGGCCAGCTGGGGTGCGGTTCCCGCAAATCTGCTGAGCCCTAAGGGCTGGGTGTCTGCCCGGTGGGCAAAGGGAGGCTCTCATGGGGATGGCGCCTGCGGCCTGCGGCTGCCCTGAGCTGGGAAGGCAGCCACAGCGCAGGCCTCGGGCCAACGCGAGGCGGACAGGTGGCCCCGGGCACGTCCCCAACACTGCCCTCCACCGCCAGGTCCCTCCCGTAGCTTCACCTGTGTCTTCTGGTTTTGTGGAGCCCAAACTTGGCACCAGGATTGGATTTACATGGGGGGCGTGGGGACTGCAGAAAGGCCGGCATGGGCGGACTCTGACTCAGAAGAGGAGGGTCTTGGCTCTGCACCTGCTGAGGCCTGGGGCGGGGGGGGGGGGGCGTCCAGGGCCCTCCTGCCTTCGGGGCCCTCCTGCCTCCAGAGCCCTGGGGGGTTGAGCAGAGGGCATGGCTTCTCCCTGCCCATCTGCGGCAGCAGCTCCCTGGGGTCCCCAGGACAGAGACAGGCCCCGAGATTCCGACAGCCGCTGTCCCCTCCGGACCCCAGTTCAGGGCTGGCCTTGCCGTCTAGCCCCGAGAGGCCAGTGTTGCCAACCTGCCTGGGCCAGACTCAGGAGAGCCCCTGGCTCTTTGGCCTCATTCTGCACTGACGCACCACAGCTGCCTCCGCTGCCCAGTGTCTGCTGCGACATGCTGTGTCACGAGGGCAGCGGCCGTGGCCGGGAAAGCCCCGGCTGTGGCTGCCTGACTGTCCCCAGGGGCACTCGGCGGGGAACTCACAGGCGATTTCCACGTCAAGGTTCGTGGACTCTGGGTCTATTTCAACTGTAACCTTCGCTACTCCCAACGTGGCCTCTGAGGCCAGGCAGCCCACGCAGGGTGTGTCAGGGAGTCAGGTTGGGGGGAGGGAGGGAGAGGGGAGGCGAGGAGGGGAGAGGAGGTGGGGAGGGGGCAGGGGCGGCGCGAGCAGGGCCCTGTCTGATTGGGCAAGTCCTGTGCCCACTCGGAACCTTGGTCCTGGCAGCAAAGGACGGTGCTGCTGTGCCCGGGGGGGGACATGGGTGACCACAGGGCCGGGCGGCCAGGCAGGCCCTTCCCTGGGGAGCGGGACAGGTGTCCCTGAGAGCAGAGCCTGGCACGGCCCCGCACGGCCATGAGACGCACCCACCTCGGCCGGGTAGACGCGGCCGTCCACCGTGTGTTCTGAGCCCCATGCGTCCTCCGCCCCCCAGTGGAAGTGGAACTGCCTCAGCCGGTGGTGGCTCCGCAGGGGGCCGCCGCTGATCCCTGCGGGGAGGGGTGGGTTAGCGGCCTGCTGGCTGGGCTGGCCCAGCCTGTCCGCCCTGAGCTCCCCGTGCACTCTCCAGACACTGGGCCCCTCGCCCGGGGCCCTCGCCCGCGCGGCCTGCTCCCGCGTGCACATGCTCCTGAGCTGCCTGCCGGTCCCACGAGATTTCTGGACTCTAATTTTAAAAATAAGTTTTGAGGACAAAGGAAGCAACTTGGACCTGACCCCATGCGGGAGGCGGTGGCCTCCTGCCCTCTGCTGCCCTCTGCACCGCGCTCGCCCGACCTAACCCTGTGGGACCAGGTGTCGCTGCACGCCTTCCCCTAAGTCATCCCCACACCCTGGGGCCAGCTGACTCGAGCACTGTCTGGGGGGCTGGATCCCCCGCCGAGCTGTGGCGCCCCCCAGCGCGCTGTCTGGCAGGTCCAGGCAACGACTGGGAACCTGCTGGGAGCGGCTGGGGCTGGCGGAGGCGAATGGTCTGCTTTCTCCTGCCGGCGCTTGGTGGTTACGAGTCCCTCGACCGCGTCCCCAGAGGCTGTGGACTGAACAGCAACAGCTGGACACCCAGAGCAGCTGGCAGAGCTTGGAGCTGGCCAAGCCTGGGGGCCCGGGGGGCCGGGCGTGCGGGGCCGCCTCCCGCCTGGCTGGCATCACAGCGCCACCGTGTGGCGAAGGCGGGAAGACACGAGGGGCGTGGGCTGCGGGGTCAGGTGTTGGCAGCAGGAGGCCCTGGATGCGCATCCTCCAGACAGCCCACGCCTGTCCCGCCCACGCCCACAGACTTCCTGCCGGCTTCCTCGCTGGAGCAGGTGTTAGCCTGAGTATCCCTGGACCTCACACGTGAGCCCCACAGGTCTCCCGGGGGTCTCCCCGCTTCTGCCACCACGCGCCCACATCACCAGTCACTCTAGGGAAATACACCAAGGGTCCTGGCGGTGCGGTGCGCAGACTCCAGGGCGGCCAGGAGCACCGGCCTCTGGGGGCTGAGACGGCCGGACTGGGCGGCCCTCTGCGCGTCCTGGTGGGGAGCTGGCACTTTATGGAAACGCAGTGGGCACAGCCACCTTGACAGAGGCTCGGGCCAGGCTCCGGCATCCCTTCAAGAGCAGCCATCCAGCCTTCAGGGCCCGAAGCAGAGACCGAGGGTCTGACAGGTCTGGGGCCTCCTCGCACCATGGACTGGTCAGTGGGGAAACTGACCTCACAGCCCCTCATGGCCCCAGGCTGGGGCTCCTCCCGCACCCTGTGGGGTGCTGGGAGAGGGCAGAGGGGTGCTGGAGCACAGCCGGGAGCTCTGCCATCTGTGGTCCCAAGCTCCACTCCGTGGAGGGGGGATAGCAGCTGCCTTGGCGGGTCTTGGCTGCTGGGTGAGCTGAGGTGGGGAGAAAGCAGGAGGGAAGGCACTGGGTGCACAGAGGGCAAGCGTGGCACTTCTCAGCCCATGGAGGGAGCGGGCAGTCTATGCCCCCCGCTCCCCGCACTGGGCTGGGGCAGGCCGGGCTGCCTTCCAGGACGCGGGCTCTCCGGGGACCCTGGCCCTTGGCCTTCCAGCGCAGCAGCACCCCTGCCACGGAGTCCTCCTGGGCCTGGTCTCGAGGCCTCTCACAGTCCTGGGGGAGCGGCCTGTGCTCGGGCTGGGGGAGCACATCCCCAAGAGCCCAGTCTTCCGGAGGAGCATCTGGAAGCTTCTGGCCTCCTCGGGCTCGTGCCGCGTGCAGACCTGCCTCTCCTCCTTGACGCTGAGCTGCCATAGTGCAGAGCCAGGCCTCGACCCCCACCTTGCTCACCTGACCCGTCGGCGGAGTCGTCGAACTCCACCTGGAAGAAGTAGCCTGTGTTCCAGACGCCCCGGCAGGTGGCCGCCGCGTAGGAGACGCTGAGAGGCCCCAGCTGCTGGTCGTAGAGGCTGTCCCTCCCGCGGATGTTGATGGGGGACTGCCGGGTCCCCCCTGGCACAGAGATTGGGCCCTTCCAGAGGGGGTGCACTGGGGGGTAGAGAAGACAGACGGGGCCTGGTGATGCACCGGCCCCGACAAGGTCTCGGAGGAGCCAGCCTGTGGCCGCTGGGCCGCCCACACACCCGCGCCTGCTGCCTGCCGCTCCTCTGGACGCCCGCCTGGGCTGCGGCCCTGGGTCTGCTCCGGGGCCAGTTCCCGGACAGCTCAGGACCCTGCAGCTCTGTCCAACCGGGTGGCAGACCCAGCTCTTCCCAGTTATGTGACACCCCTCTGGCTGACACCGGCCTCAGGCCCCTCCAAGCCCCACCCCGCGGCCTGTCTGTCCCAGAGCAGGAGAGAGACTCTGCAGAAAGGAGGGCACACAGCGCAGCACGACCCCTGCCCTTGGAGACCCGCCGCTCTGGGGCCTCCGGGCCCGGTGGAGTGTTCTCTGGGCTGACTCTCCGCAGTGGCCTCCTGGGGCCCGAGCCCACACCAGCTTCCTGCCTGGTGGGTGTCGCCGAGGGAAATCCCAGCGATACAAACCTTGAAAGTAACTTATGCCCAATTCCAGCTCAAGCAGGGATGGGGGGCAGAGCGGGAGAGGGGTGCGTCCACGGGGTCCGCAGGGGAGAACACAGAGCAGCCCCTCCCGGCCGGTCCCCCCGCAGACACGGAGGCCGGGCTCAGGCGCGGCAGCACGACCCTCTCGCCCAGGACCCTCTCGCCCAGGACGGCGGGGGCGCCCGAGCCGGGAGCCCAGCTCTGACACCCGGGGCGGGGAAGGGCTGCCAGTCGGCTGGAAGCGAGCTTGTCAGCTGCGGTGTAGGCCCCCAAACGACAGAGGGAGGTCTGGGATCCCCAGAGGTGGGGCGAGCCCGAGGCCGCAGGGCACCCCAGCAGGGAATCAGCCGGGCACGGGACCGGGCGGTCCCCGCAGAAGCCCGGGCCATCTGCTCACGATTGCCGCAACGGCCGCCATGACCCTGGCCGGCGTGCTCACTCTGTCCAGCTGGGCGTGGGGTCACAGTAGCCTTTTTTTGGGGGAAGGGTGCTTGCTGCCTGTCTGTTGCTGGGCTCTCCCCTCCCTAGCGCCCCAGGAAACCAAGGGAGACGCAGGAGGGAGCCCGCCGGGCTCGGCCTGTCTTGTGCTTTGGCCCCGGGAAAGCAGACAGCCCTGGGGCCGCGTCCCGGGAAACCCCAGGCTCTACTTACAAGCGTCAGTCCTGTTTCTCGGGGCGCAGGGGCCCTGGGAGCATGCTCGCCGCGGCCGGGGCAGACGACTTTGGAGACACCCCCACATCTGCTTCACCCAGACGGAGGAGCCCCAGCGCATGGGGCAGCGCCTGCCTGACATCAGCGCCCGCAGCATCTTGGTGCCCCCCGCAGTGCCCGATGAAGAGGGTGACTCTCCCCCCAGCCCGGCCCCCTGCACCGGGACAGTGTGGAGAGCGCGGACCCGACTCTCCACGAAAACTCACCCAAACCCCTGACCTAAAGGTTAAATTTCAACCCACGCCCGCCCCAGCTGCCCGGGTGGCCTTTGGCTTGGCCTGGGGGTGCGTCCAGGGACAACGGCCTTCGCCAGGGCTGGCCCCTGGTCACCACGCTGCCCAGGTAAACACGGGTGAGCCGGCGAGTCCGGGAAGCTGCGGGCAATGGGCGGGGCGCTGAGGCCGAGGGGGCAGCTGAGCTGACTCCGGCCGCCGAACCCCCTTGGGCCCAAGACGGCCGCAGGGCCGCTGCGGGGGTGTGTGGGCACAGGGGGGCCACGGACCCTCCTTTCCCGGAAACCGCGAAGTCTGTGGAGCGCAATAAAGCCAAGTCCAGGAAAATGAGGTGGCAACAGCAATGGGAGACGCTGGCCGGCCGGCAGTCTGGAAGACACGTGCGGCTTCTGCCTGAGCTCGGCTTCGTGGACTCATGCGCCTGTTCTCGGCCCGTGGGGGAGCCCAGCGGGCGCCTGGGTGTGAAACTTGTTGAGAGGCTGTTCAAGCCCGCGGTGCCCGGCAGTGCCCACGTGCTCATGGCCACCGGGCAGCAAACGGAAAGCAGCGGTCAAGGCAGCCTGGGCGCCAGGAGAGGCGTCTTCTCCTGCTCCACCTGAACAGCCTCATCCTCTCCTTCCAGAAAGCACGAACCACGGAAGAGTCAGAGCTGGAGAGACGGACGCTGGCAGCGCTGGCAGCTTGACGGGTCCTCTGGCTTCCATGCCGAGGCCATTGCCAGCCCCTTTCCCTTGGGAACACCACCTGCGTGTGCTGGGGCGCGGCCCTCCCCACACTGTGCATGGGGCCCAGGCCGCCTGCCCACTCCCGGCGGAGGCTCAGCACCCCCAGGCGGGGCCGCCAGGTGACCGAGCAGCCCTGGCCCTGTCTGGGACCTCAGTGTTGCCCGGTGGGGGTTTAGCCGGAGAGATTTCCAGTATTCGCTGGAGGGGTGCTGGGGACCCTTCTTGAAACCCCCACAGAATGGAGAGAAGAGTAAACCCGGAGACACGAGGGAGGAGAGACAGCCTGGGTCGGCTCCACCCCTGGCCTCAGCCTTCACTTGCTGGCCTTTCAGCTACGTGAGCCAACGCTCCTCTCGTCATTAAGCCAGTTACCTTTTCTCGTTGGTGCCAAAAGATCCTCACTTAGTAGACATCTTGGCGGCCATGAACGGGGAGGGCACGGCGGCTGAGGGCCGCGCGTCTGAGGCGAGCGCGAGGCGGGGAGGCCGTCTTCGCCTCCGAGGCCCCCACAGTCACCCCACAGCGAGCTGCACAGCGGGGTGATGCCAATCGGCTGTTCCGGTCTCTCTGGCCGGGCCCCAGTTAGCGACTGTTTCTGCTCACCGCACAGACAAGGAGGACGTCCCCAGCCTCTGGGGTGGAGCCCAGGGGACAGCCAGCCGCCGCTCGACCCGGCACCTGTCAGGCTGAGCCCCCGGGACTGGGGCTCTGAGTCCCGGAGATACCACCTGGCTGGTGAGGAGGTATGGACTCTAGAACCCCGCAGTGAGGCCCTCCCTGAACCAGAAGGTCAGCCCCTGCCCCCTGAAGATGACCAGTGAGGCTCCGGACTGGGAGTGTTGACCCTGACGGCTTTTCCCCAGCCTGACTTAGCTCTGGCAGGAGGCGCCGCGCCTCAGTGCAGGCCCCGCAGACTCAGGTAGCGGCAGGTCCGGGCCAGGCCACCTCCCCTCCCACCCCCCACCCCCACCCTGGGTGCCTCTGTTTTCAGAACCTGGCCGATTTAGGTAACCTTTGGGAGGGCCGCTTGTGTTTTTTGCTTTTTCTCCCTCTTGTATTTTATTTTTTTAAATTTATTTTTAATTTTTTTAAGATTTTTTAATTTATTTATACAAGCACTGGGTACAGTCAGAAGCGCGGGAGGGTGAGAGAATTCACCAGAGCCAGAGCGGGGAGCAGAGCAGGCAGAAGGACCGAAGGACACTGCTGAGGGGAGCAGCGGGCGGCAGGAGGGGTCCGCGCGCCATGCGGGACCCTCCTCCGGTGGCCGGGGAGCAGCCGGGGATCGAACCGGCGCCGCAGAGGCCGCGGGCAGCTTCGCAACCCAGCACTCAACCGCTGCGCCACCGGGAGGCCCCTTCCTCTTGTTTTTTAAATTCACCAGTGAAGAGGGAGCCGGCAAGACCCTCGGGGCCCACCTGCAACCCTGATAAAAGCAGAGCCCAGCTCATGGGCTGGTTCTTCCTGTACCTGTGGTCTCGCTGCATGGGCCAGGGTGCTGGGCGACCTCCAGGCTCTGAGAATGAGCTTGTACTTTTCCGGGGTCGTCTGGTCAGCGCAAGGGCATACGCCATCCTAAGACCGTGGGGGGCCGTCCCGATGTGGCCGCGGAGGGGCAGAGACCTGCTTGGAACAGACACAAATGCCAGCTTTTCACAATACGTACCCAGCAGAAGTGCAGACACATGTCTACGCAAAGACCCGTGTGCAGACATCCCAGCAGCGCCAGTCACGGTAACAGAAAGGTAAACACAACGCAAGGGCCCATCAACAAACGATGCTGGAACAACTGGACGTCCACACTCAAAGAAATTCAGGAAGACGCAAGCGCACACGCCCTTTGCAAAAATGTACTCAAAATGGCCCACAGGTCTAAAAATAAAATGCCAAACTCCCACGCTCCCTGAAGACAGCACAGTAACACGCTGAGCGACCTTAGGGACAAGACACCTGTTTATTTATTTTTAAAAATTTTATTTTTAAAAATCTTTTTTTTCCTTTAGATTTTTATTTATTTATTTATACAAGCACTGGGTACAGTCAGAAGCGCGGGAGGGTGAGAGGATTCACCAGAGCCAGAGCGGGGAGCAGAGCAGGCAGAGGGACCGAAGGACACTGCTGAGGGGAGCAGCGGGCAAGGCAGGAGAGGTCTGCGCGCCATGTGGGACCCTCCTCCCGGGGCCGGGGAGCAGCCGGGGATCGAACCGGCTCCACAGAGGCTGCGGGCAGCTTCGCAACCCAGCGTTCAACCCTGGGCCCCCGAGGAGGCCCACAAGACACCTGTTTAGACAACACCAAAGGGACGACTTCAATACAAAAAAGGAGGAGGGCCTCCCTGGGGGCGCAGGGGTTAAGTCTCAGCCTATGAAGCTGTCCACAGCCACAGCAGCAGGAGTTTGATCCCCAGCCAGGGAGCTACCCACACGGCGCAGCAGACCCCTCCTGTCTCCCGCTGCTCCCTCAGCAGTGCGTTTCAGTGGATTGGCCTGTTCTGCTCCCCGCTCTGTCTCTGGGGCGTCCTCTCACACCCCTGCCCACCCTCCCCTCTTACCTCTGGCCTGCACCCCGGTTCTTGTTTGCGTGAAAAAAAAAAAAAAAGCAACTTCTGCTTCTCCGGAGACAACGTCAGGGCACAGGCTGGGAGGACGTCTTTGCAAACACCTTCCAGACAAAGGCTGTGTCCAAAACAGACCAAGAACCCAAAATCCCCAAGCAGGACCCGGTCAAAACCAGGCGCAAGACTCCCCCCGCCCTCCGGGGCCCGACAGCGGGGGGCGGCCCTGGCCGGCGACCGGCCGCTCCTCCCGCTGGCCGGACACCGTGGGGTCCGCACGGGCCGCGCAGCTCCGGCGTCACCGAGAGCAGCGGACGCCGCGTCCCGCCCACGCCGCGGCAGCCCCCGCAGCTTCAGGGGGGCCGGGCTCGTCGCGGCCACGGCCCGCGGGGCCGGGGGGGTGGGGTGGGGGTGGTGGTGGCTGCGGAGCCCCGGCGGGCGCCCGCGGGGAGGCGGGGAGGCCGCCCAGGGGCGGGGGCGCGCGCTCGGCCGGGCCGCGGGCGTGGGCGCTGGGCCGGCCCGGGCTCCGGCCCCGCCCCGTGTCCCCCCACGCGCGGCGCCCCGGCCCGGCTCCCCTCAGGCAGGGCCCGGCTCGGCCCGCGCTCGGCCGGCCCCGGGTCCCCGCGCCGCGCTCCCCGGGCTGGCTCTGGGGGAGACGGGACCCGCCAGGCCTCGGGGACCCCGGAGCCGACGCGGGGTGCGGGCACGCGGGGACCCCGGCCGCGCCCCCGTTCGCGCGGGGCCAGACGGCGGGCGCGGCGGAGGGGCCCTTCCGGGGCCGTCGGGTCTGGGCGCCTCTCCCCGGGCGCCACGGCCTCGCGAGGCTGAGGCCCAGCGCGCCGGCCGGGCCGACACGGGCCCCGCGGTTGGAGGTGCGCGCGCAGCGGCCGACGGCGCGGCTGCACTACAAGTCCCAGCAGCCCGCGGGCGGCCCGCCGGGGCGGCCGGAGTCCGGGACTACAAGTACCGGCAGGCACAGCCCCCACGCAGGGACTACGAGTCCCAGAAAGCACCGCGAGCACTTCGCGCGGGGCCCCCCGGGATATGTAGTCGTCCGGGAGCTCATGCGTATTCAAAGAAAGCGCAGATTTCCCTGACGGCCCCGCGGCGCGGCTTCTCACGGGCCCTCCGGACGCGGCGCGCGAGGTGGCGAAGCGAGAACCCCGGCGGCCCGGGCTGGCGCCGAGGAAGGACGCGCGCGCGCGCACGCGGGAGCAGGCGCGGCCCGGGCCGCGCGCTGGAGGCCTCGGCGCACCGCCCCCGCCCCCGCCCCGCCCCGCCCCGCCCCGCCCTCGCCCCGCCCCCTCCCCGCCCCGCGTCCCGCGCGCTCGGGCGCCTGCGCAGACGCGGCCGGGCGGCGGGCCGCGGGCAGGAACTCGCGGCGCCTGCGCAGAGCGGCGGCTTCTCTCGCGAGGACGGACGCCATTATCGCAGCTCCCCGACAAACACCACGAGAATTCCGCAGCCCACACGGTAATTGCAGCTCCCGCAGCCGGTCGCGTCTCCGCCTCCCCCTTCCCGCGGGGCGAGACGAGAGCGAGATCTCCGCCGCCCGCCTCCTGCGCCGCCTCCGGCCGCCGCCCCGCCCGCCGCCGCCAACCGCCGCCGCCCGCGGCCGGCCCGCGCCGCCCGCCGCCCCGGGAGCCCGGCCGCCCGCCCGCCGCGCCCGGCCCCGCCGGCCCCCGGCCCCCGCCCGGCCCCCGGCGCCCCGCCCCGGCCCCGACGCCCCGCCCCGGCCCCCGACCCCCGCCCCGGCCCCCGACCCCGGCCCTTCGCATCGCTGACCCCCAGCACCCCCGACCCTCAGCACCCCGACCCGGTCCTCAGCACCCTGACCCGGTCCTCAGCACCCCGACCCGGTCCTCAGCACCCCTGACTCCGTCCTCAGCACCCCTGACCCCGTCCTCAGCACCCCGACCCAGTCCTCAGCACCCTGACCCGGTCCTCAGCACCCCTGACCCCGTCCTCAGCACCCCTGACCCCGTCCTCAGCACCCCGACCCGGTCCTCAGCACCCCGACCCGGTCCTCAGCACCCCTGACCCCGTCCTCAGCACCCCGACCCGGTCCTCAGCACCCCTGACCCTGTCCTCAGCACCCCTGACCCGGTCCTCAGCACCCCCGAGCCCCGTCCTCAGCACCCCTGAGCCCGTCCTCAGCACCCCTGAGCCCCGTCCTCAGCACCCCTGACCCCGTCCTCAGCACCCTGACCCCGGCCCTCAGCACCCCCAAGCCCCGTCCTCAGCACCCCTGACCCCGGCCCTCAGCACCCCAAACCCCGTCCTCAGCACCCCTGACCCTGGCCCTCAGCACCCCCGAGCCCTGTCCTCAGCACCCCCCGACACGTGGCCTTCAGCCCCCTACCCTCAGCCCCCCGGCCCTCAGCAACCCACCCCCACGACACCTGGCCCCGGCGCCCCAGATCCCAGACCCCCCGTGTGCACCCGAGTCCGCCGCCGCCTTGGGATCCTCTCCCCGCGCCGCCCCCCCTGCCGCCCCCGCCCACCGCGCCTGCCGCATCGGTGTCCCGGGAGGCCCGCGCCGTGGGGAGCAGCTGCCCCCCCATGCCGCCCTGCGTGCCCATCGCCCACCCAGGACTCAGGACGCCCCGTGACTAGACTGCCCTGCTGCCGGGAGGGCGCCCGCGGAGGGCGGTCGGGCCTGGGGGGCGTCCTGCTGGCCTTTCCGGCCCCTCCGGCCCCTGCGTGGCGGCCACTCGCCCGCTGCTCCTGGGCTCCGGGAGCCTCTGCGCACCCCGCTCCCCCGCTCCCTGCAGGTGGCCTTGGCCTGCCCTGTGGCCTGTGGGCCCCGGGGTCCCGCTGTCTCTCGGGCTGCGCCCCTGCTGTTGGCCTCCACTGTCAGGGGTGGGTCAGCCTCAGCCTGGCCGGCCGCTCTCACCCAGCTCCTGCCTCCAGGGGCCCAGAGGAGGACGCCACCTCGGCCGCGGGGTTGGGCAGCAGCGAGGTGCTCCTGCTTCCGGGGTGCAGAGGCGACTCCAGGAGGGCCTGACCCCCATGGACCGCTGTCCGCCAAGCGTGACCTCGAGGCCTGGCCACTCTTTGTCCCTTGAGACCTGAGCACAGTGAGCAGTGGCGGCCACGCGGCCAGGGCCTGCGGTGCAGGGGCCACCTCCGGGCTGGGCACAGGCGTGCGCGTCAGGGGCTGCCGTTCTGTAGACTGCTTTTGGGAGCGACTGTCACTGTCCAGCAAGGGAAGCTGTTGCGAGCCCCCCCCCCCCCCCCCCCCCCCGTGGCCACCTGGCAGTCAAGGTGGGCATCTCAGCCGGCTGCGCGCCGGGGGCCTGCTGCTGGGGCCTTGGCTGGCTCGGGCCTAACCCGCACCCCCCCCCCCCAGGCTGAGCCGCCCTGTCTCCTTGTCCACTCCAGGCTGGTGTCCGCAGGGCCCACGAGCCGCAGAGCACCTCCCGCGAGGCATGAGGGCAGCGCGCACCCGGCAGGGCACTGGGGAGGGGGGCCTGCCGCGGTCTCCGTCACCGGCCCACTGGGGGCCCCTCACCAAAACCCTCCCGCCCTGCTCAGGGGCCCCCGCTGGGATGGGCCCAGGGCTTGCCGCTTAAGACACTGCCGGGGTGGCCCCTGGTGCTGGCGAAGGGCGTCCCGCGTGAGTGGTCGCCCAGAAACGAGGGATCCCCACGGGTGTTGGGGGGGTGGGGGCCGCAGCCTGCGTGAGCAAGGCTTCCTGAGAATCCTTGTCTCTGTGTGCAAAGCCCACGACGCGCGCCCTGCAGCTAGATACGCCCGTGCCAGTCCCGCCTTCACACGCAGCGTCCGGCTTCGCAGCCGCCTCCTGCAAGAACGAACGTTTCCCCTCCTGAAGAGAAGACTCGCGGGGAGCCGGCACACTTCAGGGCCTCCGTGAGGACGTCTCCCGTAAAGGATGTTGAGACTCTCTCTGAACACGTGCAGGCCTCTCCCGGCGTTCTCTGACCTCCCGAGCGTGCCGGCCGCGGCAGCCGGCGTGCGCTGTCCACCGGGCCCCCTGAGCCGGCCGGCCGGGGCGGGGGAGCGAGTTTCAGGGATTACACGGCTGCCGTCTGCCCTGGCCGGGCTTCACCTGCCGGGCTTCACTAACCTTCGGGTTTCCCGCTGTGTCCGGTGGCGCTCGGGCCGGTGTGACAGGCCCCCGTCCCCTCTCTGCTCTCCTCTGGCCTGTGCTGCTGTGTGTCCCTGGCTGGCCATGGCCCCTGCGGCCCGGAAGGGGCAGGGTTCCGGCTCCCCTCTTCGCTCCAGCCCCGCAGGGCTCTGTCTGAGGTGGTGCTCCCTGCGGCCTCTGTCTCTTGGAAGCGGTGCTGGCGCGGCCCCATCCCCGCCTCCCTGCCCCAGCCTGAGAGCTGCGGGTGTCCTGGAGGGAAGGTGTGACTAACGTGGCCGCCTCTGAGCCCGGGGCAGATCCTCTGCCCAAGGTGTCGTGGCGCCACAGGGGCATGAAGCCTCGGCCTGTGGTCAGCCCCACCCAGCCTGACCCCATGCTCCGACGTCCTGCCTCCGGGCCATGGGGGCGGGGCTGTGCTGGGTGCCCGCCGGTCAGGCAGGTCCTCACAGTGCATCAGCCATGGGAGGTTGAGATCTGGCAGAAAAGTCCAGAAATGATGAAAGGAGAGGATAGATTCTCATTTAATGTCTGGCGAGGCGGGTGCGGTGTGCAGCCAGCTTCCTGTCCCTGCTAAGTCCCCTGGGGGGGCATTACAATACCAGTAGCCGCGCATAGGGAGGGCCCCGTGTGCTGGAGGGCCCAGCAGGTGGAGCCCCACGAGCTGCCTGCGCCTCAAACCTTGAGTAATAAAGACGATATTTTGTGCCTCTGAGAAGCGGCTCGTGGTCTCCTTTCCTCCGGGGGAATGTCAGCTAGTTCTGGGGAGCAGACCGTAACCCCTGAACTGGTCACGGTTCGGGGGGAGCGGGTGCGCTGGCCTCCCGCGTGGGTGTGACCCGCATGTCCCTGGGCCGTGGGAGACCCCCGCGCCTTGCCTCGCAGACTAGCAGGGAAGGACTCGGTCTGTGGCCCTTGCTGTCCCCTGCGGCCCCTGCTCTCCCATGGGTGGCTCCGTGGCCGATGGGAGGACCAGTCTGCTCCATGCGGCCTGGGGCTGGGCCTGGGGGCAGAGGGCCTGGCGCAGGCTGCATGGCCGCCAGCCCAGCCTGGGCACCAGGCAGTTCCTCCGAGGCTGGTGTCCAGTGCCTGCTCGGAGCTGCCCGCCCCTCCAGGGGCAAAGCGGTCACACCTGACTGGCCTTCTTGTTTTGAAATTAAGCGCTTTGTGGATGTTAAAAGATTTGTGGATTCAAGCGAATTTCACATTCTCTGCAAAGGGAGAGCACGTTACTCGGGGCTTGTTTACTTCAAGCTCCTGTTGTAAGGGGGGGGCTGAGGCCAGACACGGTGGCAGGTGGCGCCCCCTGGAGCGGCGCTGGTGGGGAAGGCGCCCCAGGGAAAGTGCGCAGTGTTGGGGGGAGACTGATGAGCAATACAAGGGCCTGCAGGAGCAGCCCCCCCGGGTTCAGTGTTCGGGATTCAGCATTTTCGGATCTTCAGCGATTCGGGGTCAGTGATTTCGGCCCCAACACACGGATCTCCCCGAGGCTGGCGCGGCCTGGGAAGGACGGGGCGGGGCCTCCACAGCCAGCCCCAGAGAGGGAAAGTTTCGGGCTTTGCAAGCAGCCAAGCAGCAGAAGCTTCTCCCCGTCTTGCTGCTGTCACAGCCGAGGGGAGGCGGAGGCCGGAGCGGGCTGGCCGAGCCGTGTGTGGGGCCGTGTCGGGCCCTTCGGCCGCTGCAGCTGCTGCTTTGAGCGTCGCGTGTCCAGCGCTGCGGGGGCATCTCGGGCCGCCTTGCGAGGGGGATCTGGCCCGAATTCTGGCCGCCGCCACCCCAGGCCTCGGTGGCGGGAAGACACCGTCTTGGGGCCGTTCGTGTCTGGGACTGTAAACACTGGACGTGGCCTGGGGGGCAGGGGGGGATAAGCGGCCATCTGTGGCCTCGGTGACTCTGTCCCCCGCAGGCTTCCCGCTCCTCGTGCCTCGGTCTCGCCCTCTCTTAAGGGGCTGAGCATGTTAAAGATGCCGGGAGCCTGGACGCGTTTGGGTGCTGTAGGGCAGAAGTCCCCAAACTGTAGAGGGCGAGGTGGGCCCCGTCACAGCTGCAGACAGTCCCCAGAACAGGGGAGCGGCCGGGGCTGCGGGCACCGCGCAGACCCCGCCAGCCCTGGAGCCCTGCGGGCGGGAGCACCGGGCCAGGGTGCCAGGCGCGGACAGGAGGGCGCTTCCCGGAGCCGCTGTCGGCCCTCCTGACGGGCTGCCGCTACTGCGCCTACTGCTGACAGGTGTCTGGGGCCTCTGAAGGACGCCCCGAAACTGCCCCAGTTGTGTGAAGACCCTGGAGGACGGGCCGAAACTCTTGGTTTGCCCTGGGAAAGTCTTGGGAAGAGAACGCAGCCTTGCAGAAGCGGAGCCCGGCGCAGCCGCCTGCCCTTCCCGCGCTGTCCCTGCGCGCCGCCTGCCGTGGGGGGAGCCTCAGCGCTGCCCCGTGAGAGCAGTTTGTTTTCCCTCACCCCCTGCGGCTCTGAAGCGTCCTCCCCCTTCCACCTGGGTGGCTGCTTCCAAGAGCAAGGGCCGCCCTGCTGCTGTCGGCAGCGCCCACCTCGCCCCAGCGAGCCTCCTGCAGGGCATCTGCCGGCTGGTGTGGGGGACAGTTCCAGGACAGTGCCCGGAAAAGCCAGCTCGCCGCCGCAGGGTGCGGTCCCTGTGGGGTGTGCCTGTGGGGCGACCCCGTCCCCCTCTGCTAGGCTGGCTCTGTGCTCCCCCGCAGCGGCCCTGCTCTTTTTTTTTTTAATTTAAAAAAAAATTTTTTTTTTATATAGAGGCATGTTTTATTTATTTATTTTGTTTGTTTGTTTTGTTTATACAAGCACTGGGTACAGTGAGAAGCGCGGGAGGGTGAGAGAATTCACCAGAGCCAGAGCGGGGCGCAGAGCAGGCAGAAGGACCGAAGTACACTGCTGAGGGGAGCCGCGGGCGGCAGGAGAGGTCTGCGCGCCACGTGGGACCCTCACCGGTGGCCGGGGATCGAACACGGCGCTGCAGAGGCTGCGGGCAGCTTCACAACCCAACGCTCAACCGCTGCGCCACCAGGGAGGCCCAGCGGCCCTGCTCTTGTTCCTGTTTCAGGGATCTCCTGGCTTTTTTTTTAGGGGTGTCCAAAATACTGAAAAAATCTCACCCCCCCAAAATGTGCAGTTCTGAGTGTCCGCTCACGAGTCTGCTGTGCCCTCACCACTAGTGGCCGATGGCCACCCCGGAGCGCACGGTCAGCACGCAGCCTCCTCAGCTAGCCGTGGCCCAGCAGGTCAGAGCGCAGACCCAGAGCTGTGCCACCGTGGTCCCAGGCTGCCCAGACTGGGCGGTATCCCGCTCGACAGACCCGGCGCCCTGCCCCCGTGCGAGCGGGCGAGGACCCTGGCCCAGCGTCCCCGCAGGAGGGGGCGCATGTGGGTGAGGCCCACAGCCCTCTCTGCAGTCACTCGGCCACGGTGCCGCTCGGGGTGCGTGCAGGGTGCCTTTGAAGGGACACGCTGGAGCAGAGGCGGGGGGGGGGTGGGGGGCGAGCCAGAGAGAGCTGAGCCTGAGGGAGGAGGGGAGGACACGGGGCAGCAGGCCTTTGGAGCAGGGCAGGGCTGCCTCCGGGGCGCGCCCTCGTGGTGGTTGTGGGTTTGAAGCAGGGTCTCTGCAGCGCCCCAGCAGTGGGGCGGGCACTCGCAGGCTGGGCAGGCCCAGCTCCAGAAGGACTCGGGTGCGTGAAGGCCAGCCCTTCCCTCCTGAGCCACCCGCGCTTCAGGCCTGTCATCTGGATGCACAGATGCCGGCGCTCCCCTCCCACCTCCGCGCAGACGTGGGGGTCACCCTCAGCTTGGCTGGGCTTTGCCGTGCGTTTCCCTCACGCTGTGACAGCGACACGTGTGGTGACATGGTGGCGTGAGGGTGTTATCGTCCCAAAGGGGGTTTTTGTTTCACTCACTCGGCGTTCTCTGCACACATGCGCGCGCGTGAAGTCACACGGCGTGGGGCCTCCTTCTGGCTGACGTCACTCAGCGTGTTCCCCTCCGGGTCCGTGCCGGGGGCTGCAGGCGGCAGGGCTTCCCTTTGTGTGGCCGCGTGGTATTCCACGGCGTGGACGGGCCGCGTCCCTCCGTCCGCCCCTCAGGCCTTCGGTCATTTCCGGCTCTTGTCATGAGTAGCGCCGCGGGCGCGTCGGCTCTTCGGATCCGTGGCTTTGTGTTTCTCGGACGGCAGGCTCCTGGCTGTCGGCGGTGCTCCCGGGAGCTCTCCGGCGCTGAAGCGATGCTCTGTGACGTCGGGAAGCGGCCGGCGTGACGCCCGCAGTGTCCACCGCGCGGCGCCCAGGAAGACACTCGCGCGCCGGCTGCCCGGGCCCAGCGAGACGTTGCGGTGGGAGCCTTGTGCGCTCGCCTCGGGGCCAGCAGGCCCGCCGGGGACGGGGAGTCTCGTGCCAGCGCCGCAGCCGCGGGCACTGCTCCGCCCCAGCGCTCCCGGCCTGCTCGCCCTGGAGTTTCTCCTCAGACCTCCGCCAGCAGCAGAGTCTCCGGGGCTCTCCCCTGGGGCGCTCCCCCGGCCTCTGCGCGGAGCACGCGGGTCGTGTGCGGGACAGGCCCAGGCCTGGGAGAGGCCCGCGGCAGGAGGGAGCTGAGCTGGGGGCTTGCAGACTTCGCGCCGGCCTCTGCGGGAGGAGGCGGCCACCGACCTGGTGAGCCGACCTGGTGAGCCCGCCGGGCAGAGCCCTGGGAGCAGGTGGCGGCGGCGCGTCCGTTCTCGTGGGGAGGCCGGGGAGGCCGGCGGGCCCCGCGGCGGCTCCTTCCTCCTCTGCGCTCGGTCTAGTCCCAGGCCAGCGGCGGGAGGACTGGCGGGCTCGCCGGGGCCACAGCGCCCACCCTGGTCTGAAAAAGTGAAAAAGGCCGTTTCCGCCCAGAGCGCGTCTGTGCACCCCCGGGCCCGGAAGGGCCGACCCGCGCTGGGGCCTTTCTGTCGGGGGCGCGCGGTCTCGCAGGCCTAACAGGGCACCCCAGGAACAGGAGACAGTGACTGCCGCAGACATGGGGCCGGGGTAGGTGCAGGCCTGGGCCCGGGGGTGCTGTCCTCCCTCCGGGTCTCGAGAACCTGCTCCCGGGGAGGCTGGTTTGCACAGCGAGGCAGGGGGGGCAGATGGGGGGAGCTCTGGAAGGGCCCTTGGCGGAATTTGGGAGTGGGAGGTGTGTCACTGTTGGGGAGCATCAGCGTGAACGCTGTGGGGGTGGCCGGAGCAGAGTGGGGGATCCCCAGAGACCAGCGTGGGGGCATCACGTTCTGGTGGTCCCGGGAGGCCGCGTGAGGGGCTGCGCTCTGAGAGGCTGAGCCCCCGCCCTCCTGTGGCTGGGAGAGCGCCTGGGGGGAGCGCCGGGGGCCGAGTCACCCCTGTCCTGACGGTGGCCCTTGCCCTGTCCGGTTTCGTGTCGTAGGTGACGGAACCCTGGTCCTCCCTGAGTCTGACTCCTGCTCGGCGGCCGGCTGCTCCCCCCGGTTCTGGATGATGTCAGAGCAGGACCTGGCGGACGTGGTGCAGATCGCCGTGGAGGACCTGAGCCCCGACCACCCAGGTAGGGCTGTGGGCGGCGGGCCGCGCGCGTCTCGGCGGAACGGAGGCGCTTCTGGCATTTTCTTTCTATTAATCAAGCAGGAGGAAAAGCGAGGCCTGTTCCCTCTCCCCCGGGGGCTGCGGGCTGGCGCGCCACAGACTTCTCGCAGGACCCCGTGAGCTCACTGTTCTCCTTGCCACGGGAGCGCACCATGCTGGTCTGCAGACGCGGCCTCCGTTGTGAAGTGATCTCGTAATGGCACCATAATGGCACACGTGCCGCTGGCCTGGCAGCGCCCCGTCGTAGGGGAGGGGCGCCCCCACCCTCCGGGCCCTTCTCAGGCTGGCCCAGAGCTTGCGGATTAACGTCAGACACGTTAGTAGGAGAAAACCACATTTAATCACACGTGTGCAGGGACTCTACGTAGACATCAAGATTCCAAAGCCGGGAGGCCAGACAGGGTGTGTGTCTGAGCTGGGGACGGGGTCTGCGTCATGGGGCGTGGGGGGGCGCCCGTGTCAAGGATCCCGTGCTCTGCTCAGAAGTTGTTCCTGCCACAGAAACAGCTTCTGCCGGGAAGGTTACTTCTGGTAAAAACCCAAAGTCCAGGTGAGACCCCCAGTTTTCCTTCTTCTGGACAGGCGAGGGAGTGGCAGAGGCTTCCCATGTGCCTGCAGGGCCTCCGCAGGCCTCAGCCGGAAGCGACTTGCCGGAAGCGACTTGCGGCTCCTTTCCAGGTGCCCCATCGAGTTGCAGCTCCTGCCCAGCCCGTGTTCCCACTCACTGCAGGCACTTTGTGGGGGCAGGTCCCGGAAGTACAGTGGCCGTATGAGATGCTCATGGTGTCCCAGAAACGCGGCTCACCCCCTGCAGGCTGCAGGCCCCTTTCCCTGTGTTTTTTTTTTTTAAAGATTGATTTATTTATGCATACAAGAGCTGGGGTACAGGCCAGAGATGTGGGGGCTGAGAGGATTCACCTGAGACAGAGTGGGGAGCAGAACAGGCAGGTTGACCAAAGTACGCTGCTGAGGGGAGCAGCGCGTGTGACAGGAGAGGTTTGCTGCGCCTTGTGGGTTGCTCCCAGGCCAGCTGGGGATCGAACTCGTGCTGCAGAGGCTGCGGATTGCTTCATAGAGTAGTGCTTAACCTCTTGTGCCACCTGGGAGGCTCTCCCTGTGCTTTTGTTCAGCTCGGTATTTGTCACAGCGGTTGCGCCGGGAGAGGGGTGTGGAGCTGGCTCACTGATGCCGAGCCGTCTGCGTTTCTGGTGCGCGATCTTGTAAAATTAAGAAATAAGCGAGGGCCTCCCCGGTGGCGCAGCGGTTGAGCGCTGGGTTGCAAAGCTGCCCGCAGCCTCTGCAGCACCAGTTCGATCCCCGGCTGCTCCCCGGCCACCAGAGGAGGGTCCCACATGGTGCGCAGACCTCTCCTGCCGCCCGCTGCTCCCCTCACCAGTGCCCTTCGGTCCCTCTGCCTGCTCTGCTCCCCACTCTGGCTCTGGTGAATTCTCTCACCCTCCCGCGCTTCTGACTGTACCTAGTGCTTGTATAAACAAAACAAACAAACAAACAAATAAATAAATAAAATATGCCTCTATAAAAAAAAATAAAAAAAAAAAAGAAATAAGCGAGTAGAATAAATAAGCATTTCCTGCCCCCTGGCAAACACGGCTGCTTGGCCCCCTGGTCTCTGATTACAGCCCGCGGTCTGGGTCCTTCTGAGCAGTGACCTCGCCACAGGCTGCGGTGGCGTCGCAGTGTGCCTGCATCAGGCCTGCCGGCCCGGTGGGGCGGCTCTCAGTGCACACGCGAAATGTGTAATTCCGAAAGCTGTGTGTGCGGAGCTGTAAAGAGCAGTGCCAGCAGCGTGTGCAGAATGCGCAGAGCACAGAGGAGGCGATGAGCTTGCAAGCCCTGGCCTTGGAGGCTCTGCGGCTCTGCGGGACTACCCCGGTCGGCGGCTCCTGCCCCCGTCCAACTGCCTGGTGCTCAATTGAGCCCCTCGTCCGCCGAGGGCGTGAGTTCTCCTTTGCTGTCCTCGAGGACCAGCTGCGTCGCTCCAGTGGGGCCAGGGCTGCCGTGGGGCTGAGTGGTTGTGGCTTGCTCAGCCCTGTGCATTCCCAGGCCCGGGCGCATCTTTTCTCCGGAACAGGGGGCCATTCTCTATATGTGCGTCTGTGGAGCGGGGTGGCAGAGCCTCGGGGCCCCTCCATGCTCCTGCTTGGGGTTTGCTGTGGGGGGCTTCGGCAAGGCCGAGCCCACTGCTCCCCCAGCGCCGTGGGAGGTGCACCCAGGACTCCTCGGTGCACCCTCTGCACGCACACCGATCTCTGTGCAGCTGTGCCTGGAGGTGCTTGGTCCGTGAGGGGGCAGGGGGTGTGTGTGCCAAGATCCTCAGTGCTGACCGAGCCGCCCCTGCAGAGAGGGATGGACACCTGCAGGATGGGCTCGCCTGAGCCGGGGTGGGGCGGGGGGGCGGGGGCTGGGCCTCAGTGTGTGGGGCCTGTGTTCTGGCCTCTGCTCGGGGCTAGGAGGTAGGGGATGGGCTGCCGAGTGGAGGGCTTGGAAGATTGGGGTGGAGGTGACACTGCGGCAGGCCGGCACGTTCCTCCTTCTCTGGTGGGTTTGGGGGCCCTGGAAAGGTGCCCTGATGATGTGCTAAAGTGAGCACACGCTGGGGCTCACGGCACACGGCCCCCACGAGCCGCCGTGCACACACATGCCACAGGCTCGCGCGGCTGCTGTCTGGCCCAGGTCTCTGGACGTGCAGACGGGGCTGCGGTGGGACCTAAGCTCTTGGCCCCATGTGGACCTGGTGTGTGTGTGTGTTTGCACACTCACTTGTGTACATGCAGGCAGAGGATGAAGAGAAACACCCCAGGCCTGGCCCTCGGTTGCGGCGAGGGGCGAGCGTGGGTGTGAAGGGGAGCTCTCTGCTCTTTGCCACGCGTCTTCATTTTGTGGTTGATCTGAGACCCGAGGACAGCACGTGGCGACCTCATCCGTGGGCTCAGCTGCTTCTCGGGTGTTCGTATGGGAGCTCAGGTGCTTCTCGGGGAGCCAGCAGGTGCAGTGAGGGCGGTGTGCGGACCGGCACCTAAGAAAAGGGGAAGCTTGGGGCCTCCCTGGTGGCGCAAGGGGTTAAGCACCGCACTATGAAGCAATCCGAAGCCTCTGCAGCACGAATTAGATCCCTGGCCCGCCAGGGAGCAACCCACATGGCGCAGCAGACCTCTCCTGTCTCGCCCGCTGCTCCCCTCAGCTGTGGATTTCAGTCAGTCTGCCCGTTCTGCTCCCCACTCTGTCTCTGGTGAATTCTCTCACCCCCACATCTGTGGCCTGTGCCCCAGCTCTTGTATGCATAAATAAATAAATGTTTGTAAAAGGAAAAAAAAAAAGAAAAGGGGGCAGCAGAGGGTGTGGACGCAGGGCCCAGACAGCCCCATGCCCTGATGCTGGAAGGTGCTGTTATCGCATGTGGGGGACACCAGGCCGCGGCCAGGCAGGTGCTCAGCACTTCCTCGAAGAGGCTGTGTGTGTCAGCAACGTGCTGGCCGGCACCTCAGTTGGTCAGGTCCCCTCAGCGCTCTGAGATGAGGGCGTCGCATTCCTGCCTGCCTGAGGATGCGGTTAAACTGTGGGAGGCCAGACATGGTGGCAGCCTCCCCACGCGCCTTCAGGGCTGAGAACCGTCCCTCTCCGCATCCGCGGTGTTCTGGGAACCACCTGCTGAAGTGTCCCCTCTGCTCCGCCCTTGGTTTCAGTTGTCCTGGAGAACCACGTGGTGACAGATGATGACGAACCGGCTCTGAAACGCCAGCGCCTGGAGATCAACTGCCAGGACCCCTCCATAAAGGTAGGGCGACACAGGCGTCTGTCTCGCCCCAGGTCTCGGCCCAGGGCACCAGGTTGGGTCGGGACGGCCAGGGAGGTCTTCCCCAGCCCCACAGACCACCTGGGGCAGGGCGCGCGGCTCTTGGCTGTGCTTGCCATGAGGGGAAGGACTTTGGGCCCTGTCAATTACATCACCTGCCTGCCAGTGGCCCTCAGATGCTGTCCCAGAGGCTGCAGCCAGTGAGCCAGGTGGCCCTGCTGGTCTCCGTGTCCACCTGTTGGGCGTTGACTGAGCGGCCACCCCTGGGGAGCTTCCGAGCCAGCGTAACGTGGCCGGGCCTCTGTGGCACCTGTGCAGGGACATCGGTTCCTCTGTCCGGAGGTGCTGGGCATGCTGCTAGACAGGGCCGGACTGTCGCTCCTGGTGCACCTCTGAGTCACAGTCCCGCAGGGAGACACTTGCACACATCCGGGACGACAGAAACGTTACAGACGCACAGGAGACTGGAGAAAGGCCGGCTTCCGCGCTCATGCTGTCCCGCGGCCTCTGGCTGCGGGCCCGGCTTGCTGGGCCCGCGTGAAGAAGCTGGCTAGTGGCTGCCAGCAGCGCTTTACAACGGGCATTGTTCAGCGTTGCGTGTGAAAAGCAAGACTTAGTCTATAATCTTCTTTCCCTTGTTAGTTTGTGTTATTTACTTGATAAATTGCTTTGTTCCTATAGAGCCACAATTTTCACCCAAATTTCAGGCAGAATTGCTTCTCATTCAGAAAAAATCATAGTCATTTTTCTCTGGAGAAGGCAGCGACAGCTGGCGGTTCTGGGACGGCTTCACGACGCCCTGGAGCTGCATTTGTGGGTGGGTGGGCGACATTAGCCCTGATGCAGGTCCTCTGGCCCCTGCCCTCACGTACTGGGTTCTGTCACCCTGGAGCACAGCCAGGGGGGACGCAGGCGCCCTCCATGGGGCGGGACTGCACGGCGGCTACAGGAGTGTGTGTATCGGGTCAGTTCTGGGGTGTGGAGCCCTGGCACCCTGCTTGCAGGATGGGCAACTGGGCCATGCATGCTGGGCTGTGGCCACCAGGTGGCAGGCTTGCTGCGCTGACCTGCCCAGAATGCACGGGCAGCGGCTGCTCTGGCGGCTGCTCTGCGCAGGTGGGCGCAGGGGAGTGCAGCAGGTGCCCCTCGGGCTGATTGGTGTCAGGCGAGGCCTGTTCTTCTAGCGAGAAAAGTTTGACTGGCCTTATGTATAAATCTGCTGACCAGTCCAGTGGTGTCTTCAAGTACCTAAATGTCTGTTCTGGGCGTGGGGCGTGCCTGGCATCACATGTGTGCCTGGGCACTCACGGGGCTCCTGCTGCCTCCACTGGCTCAGCCAGCCCAGCCCTGCGCCCGCCTGAGCACCATTCTCCCGCCACAGTCGTTCCTGTACTCAATCAACCAGACCATATGCTTGCGCCTGGACAGCATCGAGGCCAAGCTGCAGGCGCTTGAGGCCACATGCAAGTCGCTGGAGGAGAAGCTGGACCTGGTCACCAACAAGCAGCACAGCCCCATCCAGGTGCCCATGGTGGCCGGCTCCCCCCTGGGCGCCACACAGACCTGCAACAAAGTACGATGGTAAGATGCCCGCCACTCCGCACGCCCTGCCCGCCACCGCAGTTGTGGGGCCCGCATGTCCTTCCCTGGAAGGAGCTTGGGGGCAGAGCCCAGCGCCTGGCCCGGTGTTCTCCGTGCGTGTGGGTGTCACACTTTCCGGCACTGCCGGTTTTCACAGTGCCTGCTGTCTGGGGGTGCTCAGAGGCGCCTCAGCGGGTGCGTGGGGCTCGCTGTGCTGCCGGAATGGAAACGGGGAGCGTGGCAAGGTTGGGTGGCAGTGTCTCTTCCCGTCTCGCCTGTCCATGGCCCAGGGCGCCCAGAGGCGTGTCCGCAGCACCGGCTTCCGGGAGCCCCACACGTGGGGACTCGGGCTGGCCTGTGCCTGACAGTGTGTGTCTTGGTTCCGCAGGTCTCTGGCCACTGTGCTTCCCGCCCCGCACACGAGTGGTGGCCGAGGGGGCCCTGTGCTCGCCAGGGAGGGGCAGGGGTGGTGGAGGACTCTGGGCATGACAAGAATGCGGAATCCAGGGGGCTCCTGTTGCTTTAGGGTCCCTATGAAGAGGCCCCACTCTTGGGGCGGCCCCTGTCCTGGTGTGGGGCCGTGTGTGTGACCCTGTGCGTGGCCATCTCGGCTATGCTGACTCTCCCAGAAACAAGGGGGTGGCAGTGCAGAGAGACGAGGGGTGTTCACACAGTGTCCGCTGGGTCCTGGAGGAGGTGCCTGGGACCGGGGTTGGGGGGCAAAGGAGCCCCATGTGGCTGGCCAGGCCTGTGACATCCTGGGACGCTGGGTCACGTTGGGGCCGCTCACCTGCGTTGCCTGGGGCAAGCGAGGTTCAGGGCCAGCGGGGACACGAGGCCAGGGCTTCGCGCCCACAACCGTCGAGGACTTTGGGAATCAGAGCGGACAGTTTGCATCACACGAGACCACGTGGAGGACAGCACCCCTGCCCCAGTGGCTCGTCGGTGTTACGGCCGCCACATTGCCCTCTGGCTTCAGAGGGCCCGGGCCCCTGCGTGGGCACTGTGCCATGCGAGGTCTCAGAACCGGGGACCGCAGTCTCCCATGCCCCACGGCGACCTGCGTGCTGGTCAGGGCCAGTGAGCGTGTCTGTCCCAGGCTGCTCGGCCTGTGGCGCTGTAGCAGCTGCAGCTGCTTTCTCCAGCTGTGGAGAGAAGACAGAAGCAGGGCCCTGGGCCCAGGCTCCCTTAGCTTTGGGCTCACCCTGTTGGGGGGTGCCTACAGAGCCCCCCAGTCAAGGCATTGGGGCTGCAGGGAGCCACCCCTTCCTGCTTTCTTGAGGGTCTGCCCGAGTGATGGCTGGGAGTGAGGCGCTGTGCTGTCTCCCCGCCCGTAGAGCCCCACCCGTGTTTCTCAGTATCCACACATGGTCCCAGGAAAGTCAGGTCTCTAATCCCTTTCTGTGACCCGGACTGGCCAGGGCTTCTAAGGGATCGTGTCGTGAGGTAAATCTGTGCCCTCGTAGGACACTGGTGTGCGGTCAGTTGCCATTGCCAAGTGGCGAAGGCTCCCGCGGGGCTCCCCACCTCCCTGCCCAGCCGTGATCCACGTCAGGACAGACTGTTGGACACTCTGGGTCGGAATCCAGGGCCACTCGGTGTTGCTGCCCTAACGGCTCCAGCTTTGGTCCGGGGAGCTCTCCCTGACCACCCCATGAAGCTGGCTGTGTCTTCTGGGTCTTCCCCTGAGTGCCCCGGCCTCTGTGCGCTTTGCCTCCGCTTGGCTGTCCTCTGTCCTTGTCCATTGGCATCGTGCCCAAGACCCAGCGCTGGGCGTCTTCTGCGGGGTCCCTGCCCCATGTGGGCTCCTTCCTCTCCCTTGGAGACCCACGCGGGTGCCGTGCCCTCATCGGTGGTCATCTCTGCGACTGTGGGGAGGATGAGGGAGGGCGGTGCGTCCTGACAGGCACGCCTCCGGCTGCTCCCGTGGAGGGTGCGACTGTGGTGGGCCAGAGCACCCCAGGGCTCGTCCTCCAGGTTTACGCAGGAGGCGTCCATGTCCTGGGCCGTGGTCAGGGGAGGGGGGCGGGCAGGGGCGATGGTGGTCCCATGCTTTCTCGTGTTCATCTCTCAGTGCCGGAACGGCGTCTGCAGTGCTGGTTCGTTCTTCCCTAAGCGCAGGGCAGGGGCGGGAAGGGGTCTTGGTGTTTATGTCTTTTTGGTCGTTATCCCGCGGGCAACAGCAGTAAACACTAAAGCCACGTGCAGGAACGGTCTTGCGAGTGCGGGGCCGAGTGTGGCAGGGCCTGGTGGCACCGAGCCAGTGTTACCCTGTCTCGTCCGACATCTGGTCCACGTGGGTGGCAGGGCGCGGCGCTGGGCTCTGCGGGCCGGGGCGGCGGGCACAGCAGTTGTTCTGAGGCTGTCCGAGCTGAACACTGGCCAGGGCCGCCGTCAGCTGGTCAGCACTTCAGCGAGGGGAGCTGCCCCGGCTCCCTGACCCGCACGCGCAGAGTGAGGAAGAGGCTTCGCCGTGGGGCCCTCACGAGCGCCGTTTCGGGAAGCGCATTGGAGGGTGAGGGTCTGGAAATGGAGCTGCCGCCTGCTGCCCACAGTCAGGGGTCCCTTGAAGCCTCAGGTGCTCTGGGACCAGGTCACGTCCCTGCCAGCCTCAGCCATTGCCTCAGGACGGTCTTGCTCTGGGCTCTTTAGGGGAACAGGACGCCTCGGCCAAACCGTGTCACCAGTCATGGCGTGAGCAGACTTGAGCTCCTTGTCGCACCCCCAACCCCCGGCCTTTCAGGCCTGTCGTGAGCCAGTGACCCCTGTGAGTTGCCCTCGGGGCCTGTTGTCTGCTCAGCAGTTACCCGCACTCAGCTGCTGGTGGGTGAGGATTTTGGGGATGAGTGGGGGGCCCCCGAGGGGCGGGGCCTCAGAGTGCAAGCAGCGTGCACACCGGCTCCTCCGCCCCAGCCCTCACAGGTGTTAGGCCCGAGGGCGCTGAAGCTGTAGGTGACCGCGGCAACCCTGGCACGGGTCACCTCAGTGCTTTGGGATGCCAGGGAGGGCCCCTGGATGGGGCAAGTAACAGAGAGCAAGTGACTGAGAAGCAGCAGCAGCACCTGGTGGAGCAGGTGCAGGGAGGTGCCTGCATGAGGCAGTGGTGTGCGCCCTGGATGGGGGGCAGCCCCGCGGCCGGGACCGGGTCTCTGTGGGTGGCCACGTGGCTCCTCCTGGGAAGCACGTCCTCCCACAGGTGTGCTTTGGAGACAGGAGCCCCAGAGCCAGGTGTGCTCCTCAGGTGGCTGCCTGTCCTGTCTGTGGCCGTACCCTCACTCCACGCCAGAGCCCATGCCCTCCGTGGCCAGCGCCCCAGGCTGCTGCTGACAACAGGGCGAGTCACGTGGGGTCTGGCGTCTGTCCTTGGCGGGCAGTTGGCCATGCCTGCTCACGGCAGGGCGTCACTCTCCTCCAAGCGAGCCCGAGGCCCGCAGGCTGCAGGGCACACATTTAACTGGGGCCCCAGGTGACCACGGCGGGACTCCCCCCTCCTTTCCAGAGTGCTCACCTGCTGCATGGCCATGAGCTGGCGGCAGGATCGCAGGACTCCGGCTGCTCTGCGGGGATGGCTCCTTGGCGGCCAGGACTTGCCCGTGCCGCCGCCAGCCACGCCGCTCCGTTGCGGGAGGTTCAGGCCTCCAACTCAGCACCTGTCCGCCAGCCGGGCAGTGCGCGCTGCCAGGACGGCGCCCGTGAGCAGCCCGCACCCGCCCTCTGACAGCGAGGGGCCCGCGGCGGCTGCGCAGGCTGTGCGGGCCGACCGGGGAGGACTCGCGCGCGCCTGCAGTGAACGCTGTGGCTTAAGGTCTTCTCTTTCTCTGTGATCTTCTGTTCCCAGCGTCGTCCCCCAGACTACAGTAATACTCAACAGCGATCGGCAGAGCGCCATAGTAGCCAAGACGGAGGACCCCCTGTGCAGCAGGGCGCCGGACCCCCTGGAAAATATCGTTAGCAAGTCAGTAGCCTCCCTACCAACCCCACCTGCGCTCCGCTGCCGCGCGATGCCGGAGAGCGCCCTGCCAGCCTCTGCCCGCCCCGGCCCCGTCCCGTGGGGTAGCGTGTGAGGCCGCAGAGGATGGCGCTGTGGGGCCTCGCGTGCCCCGGGTCTCCTTGGCTCACCCACAGCCGCTCCCTCACATCTGTCTGTCTGTCTGTCTACATGGCTGTGGCGGGCCAACCACATTCTCTTTTAAGTTTGCGTAGGGACACTGGCCTTTCAGGGGACAACTTCCTCTCACATCGGTGGTGCCGGTGCTGCTCCACAGGGGCCCTGCCCACCCAGCAGCTGCCCCGGGAGGCCCGTGCCCCCCCCACATGTGCACCGGGCTTTTGGCCCTGGCCCACCCTCCAGCCGAGGCAAGCAGTCCTGCTGGTTGGGGCTTGGGGCCTGGGGCACGGCTGAGGCTCAGCTGCCCTGTTGGGGTACAGGGAGGGCACCTCACTGTGCAGAGGCTGCGCGGTCTGGCCACGGGAGAAGCAGGCAGGGCAGGCCTGCGCTCTGTCCAGACCATCACCCGCGGCACGCTCGGGGCAGGTCAGCCGGCGTCTCTGGAGTCCGGTCGGCCGGGGTTGTAAGCGTGGTTCCGGCTCTGCAGGCAGGGCCCCTTGGATCTGCAGCCCCCCTGCAGGCCTGTGCGCGTCTCCACACCCTCTGCCCCCAGCCTACGGTGGGGGGACGTCCCCAGTGTGGTGACGGGCCCAGGCAGTCAGCGGGGGCAGGGGGCCCACCACCTTCCAGAGGCTGAGTGGTTCGGGGGCATCTGCAGCGTGGGCAGGGGTCAGTGTCGGCCTCCAGACACGTCTCCTCACTCAGTCCTTCCTCCGACACAGCCTCGGGGTTTCTCAGACACCGACACTCTGTAGGGCGGCCCCGGGGTCGGACGGAGCGCCTGGCCTCGAGTCACCGTGGGTTTGGTTTCACTTGTCTTGGATAAATGTATTTTAAGCATTAAAATTGTGTTGTTTTTTTCTTCCTGGATTGTTCTCATGGAGTTGCCGTTAGTCTCAGTAGAGCGAGCTGCCGGGCTCCGTGCGAGTGGGTGGGTGCAGGCCTGAGGGGTGCGGGGCACGCGCCTGGCCTCTGCTTTGCCTCGGGCCCTCACGACACTGGCTGGTGTTTCTGTTTCTCGCTCAGCGCGGTTCCCGGGCGGCGGCAGAACACCATCGTGGTGAAGGTGCCGGGCCAGGAAGACAGCCACAATGAGGACGGCGAGAGCGGGTCCGAGGCCAGCGACTCTGTCTCCAACTGCGGGCAGTCGGGCAGCCAGAGCATCGGGAACAACGTCACCCTCATTACCCTCAACTCGGAAGGTGCGTGGAGGGGCACGACGCGTCTGGACTCCCGGGAGCGGGGTGCGGGTCGTGCTTCCCTTTCCCTGGCGGAGGCCCTGGCACTGGAATGCTGGGACGGGACGCCTAGTTATTTTGCACCTTGAATTCGAGGGCTAGAGGGACACTACTGACCTCATCGAAGCCCATGGCCAGCAGGGTCACGCTGGTGACAGCTGCGGAGGAGGGGAGTTGTGCCTGCCTCTCCATGCTGGGGTCTGGCTCATCCCTCTAGGCCTCATGTGTATCTGGTCTAAGCCGTGTCGCTGCGTCCTCTCGAGTCATAGGCCCTTGCGGAGAAAACTGCTTTTCCAGGCTCCTGGGCTGCGCAGGCCGCCCGTCACCCCCAGCGAGGCACGCCGGCTGGCCCTGTAGTCACCCGGGGGCCTGTTGCCTGGTGACAGAGTCACGGCGGCGGGCCTGGCTGCAGAGCCCCTGCCGCACAGCCTGCGCGCGCCTGTCCCTCCGGTGTGGGCGAGGCCTTCCTAGAGCCGGCCCCTCGCCTCTCACCCAGCCCCAGAATTGGGGAAGGGGGCGCGCTGATGCTTTCCTCCCAGCACCCGCAGTGGGTCTGCTCCCTGCCGGGGCTCCCCTGCATTCTGGGGAGTCTTGGCGGCGCGGAGGAGTCTGGGCACGCACTGTCCTTCTGCAGGGTACTTCCGAGAAGGGAGATGTGTGCGCAGCTGAAACCGTAGCCCCTGCGGAGGCCAGCAGTCAGGGTGGGTGGCGCTGAGGCCCGCGGAGGCCGTGACGGCTGTGGCCTCGGGTGTGGCAGTGCCTGCCAGTGGGAGCGCGGCCCTGGAGGCTCCCTGGGGGGCTGGGCTGCTGCCTCGCTTTCGGCGACGCTTGAGGATTGCTGATAACATCTTTCTAATAGAATCGCTGGCCTGAAATACCCCACTCAAGTGGGGAGAAAGCCAAACTGGCCACTCCAGAAAGGCCTTTCACAGGGTAGGGCGGGCTGTACCGCTCCGGGCGAGGCCGGTCTCTGCAATTTGCGGGCTGTCGGTGTGTGGGTTTCTAAAATCACGCATGAGCAACGGGTCTGGGGGGGGCCCCCTGCGGGGAGCACTGGCTGTCCTCACCGTGAGCGACACGCCGCCTGTCTTCAGGACACTCACACTCTGTGTCACGCACGGCACTTGGGGCGCAGGCGTGCTTGTTGGGTCCCATCCTGTCGGACGCACCTCGTGCTGTGACGTGGGCAGCGCTGTGGCTGGGCGCCCCGGGCACCCTGGGGTGTTCATGCAGGTGTATTCTGTGTCACGTCTATATTGGGAACCCTTTCTCCCATTTTATCTGGTGTTTTGCTGTAGAAATCCATAAATAATTTGGTCAGGCCTTTATAAAAGCCAGATAATTTATTTTTGGTGGGGATGGAAAATACAGCCTGACTCCGGCTGCGGCCTTGACGTTGTCCTTTGAAGACTCAGCTGGTGGGGCTGGCCCTGGGGGCTGGCTGGCTGCGGGGCTCCCGGAGTGGTGGGGTCAACCCCAGGCTCTCCGGAGTCTAGTGAACCTCAGAGGGCAGCCTTCTCTGGGCTGGCGTACTGCCCGCTGGGTGGTGCCCAGCGCTGGCATGGACTTGCAGAAACAGCTGACACCTGCCACGCTTGGGCGTGAGGGGTGTCTGGGGGTGGAGGCCACGTCTCCAGAACCTGCAGGTGTGTCCCTGTGGCAGGTGCCCCTCCCTCCCACAGACTGCCGACGCCCGTGCTCCGGTGCCCGCCGGGTCTCTAGGATTGGCTCTTCTGACTGCTGGAGAGAGCCAGAGGCGGGGATGGTGGCTTGTGCCAAGGCCAGCGCCAAGCCCAGTGCTCTACCCTGGGCTCTGCCTCAGCCCCATCCCATGGGGTGTCCGCTGCCCAGCACCCTTGCCCCAGGCACTTGCTTTGTGGGGAAAGGTCAGGAGGTGTGCAGCCAGGCTCGGCTGCCCTGAGGGTGCCACCCGCTGGGCTTCAGGACAGCTGGCACTACGGCTGGAGGCCCAGAGCCCCCCGGGCCTGCTGTTCCTGCATCCTGCAGTCCCTGGGGGCCAGTGTTGGCTTTCTCTCTGAGTTCCTGCACTCAGAGGACTTGTGGTGAGTAAAGGGAGGCCCTCGAGAGGGGGAGCCAAGCTTGAGCGGCAGTCAGAGAAGGGGTTCTCTGAGGGACGGCTCACACAGCCAGGACAGGAGAGTGCTGGGTGCTGGTGGGGCCAGCACTGAGCAGCTGGAGTGCATGGCGGTCATGCTGTCGTGGGTCTGCTGAGCATGTGCCGAGCTGCCCAGCAGCTCTTCTGTGAATGGCGTGGTCCAGCCAGTGGAGGGGCAGGCCGGCTGCCGTGATCCCCCGCCACAGGGCAGAGCAGGACGCGAGCACGGCCTGATCGGCTGGAGCTGCCACTGAGTCTGAGGCTGGGGCGGGCTGGACGTTGCCGGCGAGCGGGTCCAGCTGCCCCGGGCAGGGCCCCGTCGGGTAGTAGGCTCCTGCCAGGCGTTCCCTGTGTTCTCACCTGCGCCGACACCGGGCCAGCCCCTTGGATGCTGCCGAGGAGGCCGCCGAGCACCCTGCGGGCGGCTGTGGTTGCGTAGTGGTCCTGTCCACTCCACGCAGGTGACCGCGGGCGCTGCAGCCTCCTGGGAGTGGGGTCCCAAGGGACAGCCGGCCCAGGAGGTCCCTCTAGGGTGTGGGGGCTGGAGTGGGAGCACTGACTGGAGCCCCTCCCTCTTTCCAGAGGACTACCCCAATGGCACGTGGCTGGGGGACGAGAATAACCCCGAGATGCGGGTGCGCTGCGCCATCATCCCCTCCGACATGCTGCACATCAGCACCAACTGCCGCACGGCCGAGAAGATGGCGCTGACGCTGCTGGACTACCTCTTCCACCGGGAGGTGCAGGCCGTGTCCAACCTCTCGGGCCAGGGCAAGCACGGCAAGAAGCAGCTGGACCCCCTCACCATCTACGGGATCCGCTGTGAGTACCCTGGGGCCCGGCGTTTGGGTGGCGAGTCTGGGCCATCCTGGTGTGCTGAGGGGCAAGCGCCAGCTGTGCTCACTGGCCCTCCCGGGGTCCAGGCAGTGGGGTCCTCCCTCCTTCCGGCCAGTGCTGACCTCTCTAGCGGGTTCCTGGGGTGTCACGTCCTATCGTCTTGTCCCTCGTGGCTGTGTGGTCTCCCTCGCAGCACGGATGGGGGCAGATGACTCCCACCCCGCTCTGGGCCAGGGGAACCCCCCACCTGCAGCGGTTGGGGAGGAAGCCTTGGCGAAGAGCTGTGCTTGGGGGCTGGGTCCCCGGGAGTGGCCTAGTTGGGCCTCAGGCCTGCGGGGCCCTGGCATTGGGTGGGGTGACGGGGCCAGCAGGCATGAAGCTAGTGGGGGATGCCTCTGATTCAGAGAGGTACCTGGTTAGGCAGAAACAGAGAAGAAGGTTCTAGAGATATAATGGTACCCAGCAGGAGCACAGGTGGGTGGATGTGCCTGTGCCCAGAGCTTCCTCGTGGTGTGGGGCAGGGCTGTGCTGCTGACGCACCTACTGCGGCCCCAGAAGCTGAACTTAGCAGCCAGCTGGGCCCCCTTGGCGGGGCCGACCCCTGCCGCTGGGCCTAGGGATTTTGAGCCGAGCACCAGGGCGGTTGAGGGTGTTGGCCGTGCCCACCCGTGCTGGCCGGGCCTGGAGCTCTGGAGGGTCTGTCCCGTGGGTGCCCAGCCCTCCTGGGTACTCTCCCATTGTGCGCGCCTGGGGGCGAAGGGGTGCTGGTGAGGAGTGCGTAGCACCATCCCTGGACAGCGGCCTCCACCCCCAAGATGCCGCAGCTCCAGTCTCCCAAGGGCTGTCGGGCCTTCCCCAGGTTTGGGGCACCACTCACGCGCTGTGCATGCTACGCGAAGGCACACCCCCCTGCACTTGAGAAACTGGGGTCTTCTCATGAAGAATGTGGCCCCTAAGTGCTGGTGGCTGCTCTCGCCCCTGCGATTGCGCACTGCCGGTGGGTTGGGACGCCAGCTGAGACGCAGCAGCTGAGCTGCGAGACTGAGGCGACCTGGAGACGCCCCTTGGCTCCCACTGCGCCACACCTCAGAGACCGCCCAGCCACGCGGGAGCCCCAGCTTCCCAGCACCAACTCCCAGTCCTGCGTGCACGCTCCGCAGGCTGTGGGGGTGCTCTCCCATCTCTGCGGGGCACAAGCATGGCCGCGTGCATGTCCTGGGCTGCGGGGCTGAGGCTTTCTGCCCTCCCGGTCTGGAGGCTCAAGCCCTAAACCCAGGGCTGCAGGGCTTCCCTCCCAGGCTGCGGCTGCACATCTCTGGGGACACCGGGCTGGCTGGACGCCGGGGAGAAGGCGCGGCGGGTGGCGAGCAGGAACGCTGAGGGGTGGCGTGCACAGGGCGCGGACCCCAGCCTTCACCGAGGCCCACAGTGGCCGCACCACAGGCGGTGCCTTATGGCCTCTGACTCCCGCCCTCCCGAGCCCACTTCACGTCGCGGCCCTGTGCGGTGACTGTTCGGGCGGGGTGTCTGAGTGTACGTGCACAGGGACGCCGCGGCTTTCCAGAAGCAGATGCTCTGTGCCCCCACCATACCCGGGGCTTCCTCTGGGGGTTATCTCCAGTGTCTTTGTCTTGAGAGGAGCAGATTTTAGGGATTGGGCATTAGTTTATCTCTCAGTTCACGTCCAACTTCAATGCTCTGAGTAATCAAAACAGGAAATTTTCAGCTTAATCTTTTTATTACTGAATTTTTGAATTTCTTCCATTTATCTTCCCTTCATCAGCGAAGTTTCATGAGCTGGCCAGAGAAGGTTGCCTCCGGGAGGGTGTCTCCTGCCCCCACATTCCCGAGCCTGTGTTGTCAGCACGGGGAGGGTCCTGGACACGCTCCCAAGGGTGCCGTGCAGGCAAGGGCTGGGAGTCCCTGGGACCTCTGTGGCTCACGAATGTGGGTGCTGGTCAGGTGCCTTGTGTGGCAGCAGCTGAGTGGGGGTGCCCATTCAGGGGGTGCCCATTCAGGAGTGTGAAAAGGCTGCTGTGCTGGGGGGGCTCTTATTCCAGCCCTGGAGGTAGGCGGGGCACCACAGAGCGGCCCTGAGGCCAGCCTTGGGCTGAGCAGTGGTGGAAAGGTGTGCAAGATGCTGGGGTCACCGTCTCTGGAGACACCTGGTGTGCGCCGGGCTGGGTGTCCGGGCTCCTGGCTCCCAGGGGGGCAACACCAAGACCCCCACTGGGGGAGAGAACCAGAGTGAACCTGCGTGTGTCAGTTCCCCGCACTGTGGGCACCAGCTGCCGGCAGGCCTGAGGTGGCCCTCAGGGCAGGGTGGTGGGGTGATCCTGGGGCCCTATGGGAAGTGGGGGGACGGCCTGCAGAGGTGGGAGCAGGAGGGAGAGCGGGGCCAATTCGGGGAATCAGCTGCTCCTGAATTAGGCCCTTGACCTGGTGGGTGGGTGGGTGCAGTGGGGGCGGGTGGGCGCGGCCGTGGGGGTTGGCCGCGGGGGGCGCTCACCGCCCCGGCCCCCGCAGGCCACCTCTTCTACAAGTTCGGCATCACCGAGTCCGACTGGTACCGCATCAAGCAGAGCATCGACTCCAAGTGCCGCACCGCGTGGCGGCGGAAGCAGCGCGGCCAGAGCCTGGCGGTCAAGAGCTTCTCGCGGCGGACGCCGTCCTCGTCCGCCTCGGCGGCCTACGGCGCCTCAGGTGCGGGCGCCGGCGGGAAGGGGGGCCGGCGTCGGGGCTCCCGGGGCGGGCGGGCGCGGGGGAGGCCGGGGCCGCGCCGACGCCGCTGTCCCCGCAGAGGCCGTGCTGAGCGCGCCGTCCCCCGCCGGCGAGATGCCGCAGCCGCCGCCGCAGGCGCTGCACTACGCCCTGGCCAACGCGCAGCAGGTCCAGATCCACCAGATCGGCGAGGACGGCCAGGTCCAAGTAGTATGTGCCCTCCCGGCGCGCGCGCGGGCGGGCGGCGGGTCCCCGGGCGCGGCGGGCAGGAGGGCGCGGGTGCGGGGGGGCGCGGCGGGCTCCGGGCGGAGACCGGCCCTCCTCGCGCTCGCGGGGGGCCGCCGGGACCCCGGGCCCGCCTGGCTCCCGCCCGGCCGCAGGGAGAAGGGGATCGACAGCGAGGCCTGCGGTACCGCGCAGAGGCCGACGCTTATCTCGTAATAAGGAAGTTCTTTGAAAGAATTCCGGGACGGACAACTTCGGCCTGGAGTTTAAAAAGACGGTTGAGATGCGAGCAGTGGGAAGGCTGCGCGGTTTCTCTCACGATCCCCTGTTAACTGCCAGAATGTTGGCTGAGAGGGGCGGTCGTCTGGCTGAGCCAGGCTGGGGTTTATGGGAGTCATTTGCCGGCCTGTATCTGCAACGTAGTCTATTTAAGCTGGGTTCTTTGATATTTTTTCTGTTTTGGAACCACATTTGTTAGTGTTTATTCTCGCTGTTTAGTCACATAAGTTTTCTTTGATTTAAAGAAAAAATTGCCCGATCTGTTCTCAGCATAGACACAGACGCAATGTCCTTCCGGACCTCCTGGCCTGCCCAGAACTCTTCCTACTGCTTCCAAGGGTTTTCTGGACCCTCTGACTTGACCGTGTGGTTTTGAAACAAGCTGTCATTCTAGACTTGTGGGAAACGTCTGTCCCCCTCCCTCCCCGTGTGCCTTTCACTAAATTTACCCTGTAGTGTATCAATTCCACGCACCTTCCCTCAGCATTAGTGAGGCTTTGAGAATGTTGCAAAATGTCCTCTGCATGTGAGAGACTAGACGCTTCACATTAGGGCGATTTCATGCGGCTACTTCCTACACAGCTACGTGGCACTTGCCAGGGTTCAGGTGTCTTTCCTTGAACTCAGAGTCGGCAGTCAGGAATATTTTGCAAAGTGTTTCTTGTTTTGCCTGGCTTTGATTTTCTTCTGATGCTTCTTGGTGTCTTCTCTCGCTGCGGATCCCACAGGGCCACCTCCACATCGCCCAGGTGCCGCAGGGGGAGCAGGTGCAGATCACGCAGGACAGCGAGGTGAGTGGTGGCCACCACAACCCGGGCCCCTCTGCGGTGGGCTCCCTCACCTGGTTCCTGTGAATGTCGTGCACAGCTGGGGGTCCCCAGACGACGTGGGCATTCTCACTTGGGGTTGGAGGTGGCGGCCGTCATGGTGGGTCTTTGATTTATCTACATTAACAAAAAAAAGGCGCATAAATTCTGCTTGAAGGTTCTGTTCAGGAGTTTTATTGCTCGAGGGGTTGAATTTTCGTAGAATTGGTGTGACCGGTCTGGCTGGCTATTAAGAAACAGCTCAGGAACGCTCCTGCCTCTGTCTGAATCTGCCTTGAAGTGGTTTTGGTCCTTGATCGCGCCTTTCTTCGTCCATTTTGCAGGGTAATCTACAGATACACCATGTTGGACAGGACGGGCAGGTAAGCACTCACCTGCCCTCGCTCCCTGCGCCCTGCCGGGACCTTCTGCTGGCCAGATCTGCCGCTGCCCTGGGGGGAGGCAGGGAGTGAGAGGGGGGCATGTTGTTACCAGCCTCCCCGGGGGAGGTGGAGGTGTGGGTAGCATCACTGCAGGGTTCACGTGGCTCCTTGGCTCACACATGCAGTCCCCCCCATCTCCCAGTTTTCCATAAGTTCCCATTAGCGTTGCTGGTGCCCATGTAGGTGCCGATAGATCCAGGGGGTTTCCGCCTCAGCGCTAAGGGGTGTGCATCACTGTTTAGCTCCAGCCATTGCCCTCCGATCTGTGGCCCAGAAAGTAACCAGCACCGCTCCTGAGCATGCTGGTGGGTCCCAGAGTGACATCCTCGCTGCAGAAAAGGGGGCTCCAGGGCTGGCGTGCTCTTCAGGATGGAGGGAAATGCCTGGCGAATTTGAGGGTTTACGCTGGCATGTCATTTTGAAGGGTCTCTATCCAAGAGGCATCGATAACACATGAATGATTATTTATGAAGCGTAAACACAGAGCTCATTTATCATAATGACGCTGTTCTCAGAACCAAGTGCTTAATCACCCTTGAAGCCCTTGTTGCCAGGACAGACACGGGCGACACCTGGAGAGTGTGTGTGGAAGGACAGTTACACTGCGGGTTTTCTCTCGCATCCTCGGCTCCAGGGATGGTGTCGCACACCTTAGAGCATTTCTTAAAGGGATGTGTCTTCCTTCAGATGTTTCATGTTAAACGTAACAGGATTTTAGTCAGAGTCTTGGAATAGTACGTGTGTACGAACAACATAACCACCCTGGAAATGCGTCAAAGGCCAAGGAAGTGCAAAATTGAAAAAATCCACGTCTGTTTTCTCGTCATCCTGCGGTGACAGGGCCTTAGTGGCCGGTTGGGGGTGTGGAGAGGGCCCTACCCATCGTAGAGCAGAGAGCAGCCTGTGAAACGGGGGGAGCTGGACACTTGTGTCCATGACAGTGGTGGTGCCAGAGCCCCATCCTCCACACAGGCACGCGCACACGCACCCCCGTGCACACAGGAGCGGGCTCACAGCACAGCAGCCTGGCTGCCACTCGCCAGTCAGTTGTCTGCTCCCGTTCTCTTTCCCTCACTCGCGGATACGTGTCAGGACACAGCCCGTGATGTCCAGCCCGCAGCCTGACACGTGGGCCAGACCGCTGTGCCCGCGTCTTCCTTAAGAGCCTGCGGGTCTAGGCGGTTGTGGTTTTACGGCGTGACGTGTGTAAACATTAAATGTCTTGTCTGATGAGTGAGGTGACGGGGAAGACGAGCGGCTGGTGCAGAGCTCCATGGTCGCATTAGCGAGACTTTTAAAAACCATATTCGAGCCGAAGACGAGTGATGAGTGAGGACCTCCTCCTTCGCACGCCTGTCCGGCCCTGCGCCCGGGTTGGGGCCTGAGGCCTGTGTGTGGCTTGAGCGTCACACCGGCTCCCTGAGCGCTGGGCCTGCCGTGCTGCAGGTTCTGGGGCCCGGGGGGGAGTCCACACCTCAGCCTCCGGTGCTGGCGTGGAGCCCTTGTGGGGGTTTGGGGAGATAGAAACTCTGTCCTGGAGGCGTCTGCTTGGTGCCCGTGGTCCACACAGCCGTGCTCTGGGAGGAGGGTGGCGCGTTGCCTGACCACGGGGGCCGGTCCTTGGGGAGCTGGTAACAGCAGGGTCTTGGGTGCTGGGAGGTGCACTGCCTTTAATGGCAGTGATGGGCGGTGTGTGAAGAGGGTGGGTTCCCCCTGCGCCCAGAGGTGATGTCTGAGCTGGCTGAGCAGCCTCAGAAACTGCTCATGGAGATGGGGGGAGGGGGCGACCCTTTAGTTTTACTGTGACGTTGGGAGAGCACGTACAAGCGCTGCGCTTGCAGCATTGATTAAGAGGTAGCATTTTCCTTGTCAAAATTATTGTCTCAAACGAACCTTTTAACAAAAGCAGATCACGTGAGCCAGTCGAGGTTGAAGCAGTTCAGGTTTGAAATTTAAATTTTGTAAAGTAAATTGATTACTTTTTGAAGAAATTCCAGGCGTGCTGTCAGCGTGTGCTGGTAATCTTAGGGAGCTGGTAACGGTGGGGGCTTGGGTGCCAGGGCACTGGGCGCGTGTCACCGGGAAGCGCACTGCACACAGCTCAGCGCGGAGGTGGGAGGTGGGGCGCCTGGAGGGTGGGGGTGCAGCGTGAGCTTTAACTAGGAAACTCCGGCCACGTTTCTTACCAAATATTGTTCAGTGGACAAAATCTGGTCCAGGCTGCGTTTCTGTGCATTTCAGGGAGTCTTGTTCCTTTCCTGGAACCGGGCCGTGGGGTCTGGCCCCGTGCAGCCAGCAAAGGCCCTGGAGGCTTAGCGGGAAGGCCGGGCTGCTGTCCAGTAAGGTAACCGCTCTGGCCACTGGCTCCCTGGCCCTCATACATGGAAAATGCTGGGAGAGGGTATGAGTGTTTTCACCCTGGCAAGTCCGTTTTTAAAAGGATAATACAGGCAGGGAACTTGGCCCAAGTGTGTGTGCTAATGAAGAATGACGTGAAAACGTGGCTGGGAGCGGCCCTTGACTTCCCCTGGACTGTGCCCGTGCCCTGTAACACGCACTTCTCCTTTGCTGAACCTGCTGTGTAGCCTGTAAACCTGAGGCCTGGGCACGCGGCCTTCTCATTCACCTTCCAGGGGTCTCGGTGCTGGGGGCCGGCTCTTCCAGACCCTGCTATGCTCCGGGGCGGCGTGGAGACGCTGGCTTGGCGTGGGCAGAGGGGGGTCACTAACATCGTACACCGGCACCCTGCTTGGGCCCGGGGCGGAGGCCCACGAGCCGTGTGTGGTGCTGCCTCCAAGGCGGCTTTTGCCTTGGGAAAGCAGGGCATCGGATCAAGGGGATCTCTGAACCCCTTTTCAGTGTTTCATTTTTTTTTTTTAAGAATTATTCCTTTATTGGAAGATTTTTATTTTATTTTATTTGTTTTTGTGCAGAAGATCTGGGGTATAGTCCAGAGGTACGGGGCATGAGAGGATCCCCTAGACACAGAGTGGGGCGCAGAACAGGTGAATCTACTGAGATACACTGCTGAGGGGAGCAGCGGGGAGACAGGAGAGGTCTGCTGCGCCATGTGGGTCAGCTCCCTAACCAGGGATTGAACTCAGGCCACAGAGGTGACAGTGCTGAGACTTAACCCCTAGGTGACCAGGGAAGCCCCCCCTTTTAACTTTTAAAAATTTGTATTTGAGACTGAAAAATGGAGGCTGCCACAAACCATCTTCACAAAGCATAGCCCGTGAACGCTGTCACCTATATGCCAGCGGCCCTTGCTGCTAGGCAGCTTGGGAAGCTTCGCTTGGGACTCAGACCTGCATCTGCCAGGACTCCCCTTAGGAAGGTGGGCCAGGGGGCATCCGGGGCCTGGGGTGACTGACAGCCTGGCTTGGACTATCCTGCCACACTCAGGAGCTAGTTAAGCCCAGCTGCATGCAGCCCCGTCTCCGGGTTACGGAGTCTGGAAATCTGTGTGGCTGTCTCTGTCCTCTGCCTTGTGGCATTTTGGTGTGGGTCAGGATATGACCCAGCAAGGTGCCCACCCGTGGGGTCCCGGCTCCTGTGTGCTACTCTGATGTCTGGGTGGGAACAGCAATGGCACATCCCAGCCCATCCCAGAGTGCTGCTCTCTGCCCAGGTGACAGCACACCCTCGCTGCCTCACAGCTGTGTCGTGTCCACAGGGTGTCTGCTTAACTTGGCCAACGCCCCAGTTCCTGTGATGTGCCAAAATGCTGTTGTGAGGATGCTTTCACATGCTGCGGCCGTGCCCCTGACCGAGCCGTGGGCCTGGGGCTGGCAGAAGCCAACACTGTGTCTTAGGGGACCAGCCCTCAGGAAGGCGAGGGGAGCTCTTGGGTCACCTATGGCTGCAGTGGTTGGCTGTGAGCTTGTTACGACACTCGTTCACCTTGAATGATCGATCTTAGGTAGAAACGCCAGGAAGTCCACGTGCGGACACGCAGCTGAGACAGCAGGACATGCCTTTGCTGGGCTGCTGCCAGCTTGGGTGTGCTCGAGGCCGCGGTCACCTGAGCGTGACTTTCCAGGGGCATCTGGTCAGCTGGAGGAACGAATCGCTGGCTCAGTTCAGACCACGGTGCAGTTACCCACCAGCACTGCGGTCCCGATACCGCATGGAGGGGCGCCCTGAGCAGTGCAGGAGAGGAGGCAAGAAAAGGGACATCTGCTCTGATGCAGCGTCAGTGCCGAGTCACGGTTTGCGCCTTCCAGCTGGCTGCGCCCAGCTGCGGGGTCGGCATGGCCTCCCGACGGAGGCGTGGCCCCGGCGCCACCCTCCATGCACTGTGCAGGCTGGCGTCCGGCGATAACATCCAAACTGGACGCCCAGTGACTCGCCTCAGTGTGCTGGGACGGACTGCCTGGGTCTCTGCGCTAGAGGTGACCGTGTTCTGGGGGTTGAGATGGCACGGGCGTGGGATGTGTTGTCTTAATTTGCGGGTGACGACGGCCCCTCCAGGCAGGCCGTCCGCGGGAGAGGACGGGCGTGTGGGCTGGGCATCGGGCCCTCTGCCGGCTGAGCACTCAGTCACCTTGGCAGGGCTGTGAATCCTTATGTTTTGGGTTCGTTCCAGATATTTCAGGCAAGATTCGACTGGGATAAATGCAGCCACAATGCCGTTGAGTGTCACTCTGCTTTTGAGACACGTCCTCTGGACGGCTGCTTCGAGCATTTTGAGTCCCAGTGGAACCAAGTGAGTAGACGTCTCCGTTTAGTAATCTAGGTGGACACAGCGGAACGAGAAGTTTCCGTGTCCGTGAAACTGGGCCGAGTCTAGTTCTGAAACTGCCTTAGAACCAGCCGTGAACGAGCCAGGGCTCGGCATGCATAGGTCCTGATGGCCGGGGTTCCGTGCGCATGTGTGAGGCCAGATGTGTTTGTTGCGTTGAGTCCAGTGGTGGTGAGCTGCAGGCACCAGCAGCCTTGGCAGCAGGCGTAATATGCCCAGGGAGTCTGCACGCCAGGGTGCGTCCTCCGCTCCCGGTCGCCTCTTGCTGTTGGCTGTGTCACACGCCTCCTTCCTGTGTGCAGTGCTTACACCGACGGCCTTTGTTTGCCGGGCGGGGTGGGGGGACTGTTCTGCTCCACGTGGCGTTGCTGGGGCTCCGGGTGGCCTGGGCACCCAGCGGGCTGGCCCGTGCCGTGTCTCCACAGCAGTCTCCGGCACCGAGCTTTCCCGTGTGGGCATTCCTGCGGCCTGGGCCACGGCATGGTGTTCGGGCTCCAGGAGGGCCTGTCCCGGGGTTAGGGAGCGCAGGCTGGGCACGCTGCAGGACCCGGGAGACAGCGTAGGATGTCCGCGCTGGAGGCTGGAGTTGGGAAGGCAGCGGTGGGGCTGGACATATGTCGCTCGGCCTCTGAGCCCCATGTGTCTTGACTCAGAGTCCCTCTAAGGCAGAGCCTATGCCAAACACAGGCCTGGGGCCCCAAGGGCACACCTGGGCATGTGTGCCTGCAGGCAGTGGGGGCTACTGGGGAGAGGGGTGGAAGTGCCGGCGTGTCCTCACAGGGTGTTCGTAGTGGCTCGGGTCTACCAACCCTGCGCCGACCCCTCCCCCCCGCCCTGCACCTGCTCCTGTCTGTGACCCGCCCACTGCGAGACCCCGCGGGACATGTTCCTGGGCTGATGTGGCGGCCAGGCTGGCGATGCCGTCATGCTGCGGCCCTTGTGTTGGGCAAGAAGGCAGGCTTGGCACCAGTTCCCCTGGGTCCGGAAGCCCCAGCCCGCATCGGGCTTCTGGGGCACCAGACCCACCCCCAGGGGTGGCGTGATCTGTGTTCTCTGCCTCCTTTGCCAGCCTATTGCGTGTTTGTGGGAGGCGAACATGTAGGAGAAATCAGCCAGAGCGCTTGCCCTACTGTCCGCATGTGGGCGAGGGGGGAGGTGCTCTGGGCGTGGGGTGTGCTGTGCTGGCACAGTTCCGCCTCCTGGCCAGGCTGAGGCGCTCAGGCGAGGACCAGCGAGCGCACCGTCAGCTTCACGCCAGGCTGTTGCTGGGCGATGTGGTGTCTGCTGAGGTACTGGGCGGGGGCGGGGGCGGGGGCTGCTCCCTCTCCTGGCTGGGAGCTGAGAGGGTCCAGATGCATGGGAAGTCTTTAAAGACCTCGTTTCCTCGCGTTGCTTAGATCATGAGCTGTGGAGCTGCTGGCGCTGTCGCGTTGGGGTGCGCGCCCACAGTGGGTGGACCTGCTGTGTGCCTTCATGGTTGTCGTGGCACCTAGAGCGTGACTGAAAGTTCATCAGCGTCTATGGACCAAACAACGGCGCCTGGAGAGAATGTGCATTCTGCGGCCCTGAGCACGTGTGTGTGCGTGTGTGTGAGTGACGCGGCACCAAGCAGAGCAGCAGGGCGCCCAGGCCATTCTGTGTGTGTGGGGCGGCTGCCCCAGGCCCGCGGGCCACAGCGGGCTCTTCTCCAGGCCTTGACTGTCTGTCCCCCGCTGGCGCTCGTAGCCCAGCCAGAGAAAAATCTCAGCATGAATCTTACAGGTAGCGTGCGGGAGGGGTGTGCGCGGCCGTCTCCTGTCGCCCAGTGTCGCTGCAGGGAACCCGTGGTAGGCAGCTGCCCACTGTCACTTCCCTTCTGGTGAAATCGTCGCTTGAGAACACACAGCCCGGCCTGAGGCACCACCTGTCCCGGCCCCCGTGCCCCGTGTGCTCTCGCAGCGCCTGTCCTCGCCCAGGGAGATCCCCGCTGTCCATGCCAGACGCCCCGTTCTGAGGGCGGTGCTCCTCGGAGAGCAGAGCGGCTCGGCGGGGTTTGGCAGCGGAAGCCTGCAGGTGGGGTGCTGTGGCCGCAGGCGCAGGGGAGCCCCGCCCGGTGGGCCCCGTCCTGCAGGCGGGTGTTGGTGGGAAGGGAGCCTGGGTCACGGCCAGCCGCGGACATCGCCCCGGACCTCACGTTGACCGGGCTCTGAGAGCCAGGCAGCGACGCCTGTAAGTGGCCTGTAGCGCCCAGCGCCCCTCTCCCCCCGCCGCGAGGGGCTTCCTGATACGGACAGAGGCGTCAGGGTCTGCAGAACAGTGTTCCCGGGGCAGGCGAGAACCTTTCTGGGAGGTTTTTGGCCCCTGAGCTGAGCTCCCCGAGGCCCCTGCATCGGAGAGTCTGCCCCTGAGGGACAGAAAGCCCCCTGCCGCCAGGAGGCCATGGCCATGAGGAGGCCGGGCAGGCGGTGGCTTCGTTTCCCTCGTCACTCTGAGGAGAAAGTACTTGTGAAGTCAAGTGAGACTTTCGAGGCCTCGCCCACATCATTGGCCGTGCTCAGCTCCGCTCCTTGCAGCGCCTCGGGCCCACTCAGGTGCAGCCCCGGGCGGTGGCAGCAGCCCTGAAAGCCTCTTGTGTCCACACCATTTCTCCAGTATGGCTTGCGGTCCGGAGCAGAGACGGCGCCTCCAGGCCCTGCGCCCTTGCAGGCACGGCCACTGCTCACGTGGGACAACGTGGTGCTGGTGGTCCGGCCACCGAGAGGCCTGTCGGGGGTGGCCCAGGCCATCCCGCAGGCTGCATGCCACATGAGCCTTGTTCTCCCGGGCGGTCCTCTGCGGGCGCCCTTGGCCGCCCACCTCCCTTGGTGGGGCTGCAGGGCGCAGGGCTGTGCCACAGCCCTCATTCCTCTGACTCCCTCCGCCGGGAGCCCGCAGCATCCCCCCCACCGCCCCGAGCTGCAGCTCGAGCCCCATTTCTGTGGAAACGGTTGTTTCTGTGGTGGACTCACCTCCACCCCCACCACCCACCTGTCCTGCCCTTGGTCTCCCTGGTTAGCCCGAGGTGCAGTGGCCCTGCACAGCCCGCGCCTGCGTCCTTCCCCTGCTGAGCCCCCCTGAACCTCTCAGTCGCGTGGTGCCCAGCGACCGCTCCCAGGAAGCAGTGGGGCTGGGGTGAGGGCGGGGTGGCTGCTCCCCAGGCCATCCCGTGGCTAGATGGGTGTGGGCCAGGCTCCGCAGGATGTGGCCTGGCCACCGTCTCCTGCCCGTGTGCCAGGCGGGAAGCTAGGCCGGAGGTGACGGGTGGGCCGGGTTTCACGCTCCGAAGGGAGACCCAGCCCAGTGGCCTAAGGGTAGGCCCTGCAGGCCTCTGGCAAGGGAGGGGCGAGTGTGCTGGGCCTGTGGACAGAGTTGTCTAGAAGTTACCCGTGGTTTCTCGTGGGAGCAGAAATGCGCGCTCCCCTGCCTTGCCTGGCAGTGCCGTGTGGCCTGGGTGTCCTCGCCAGCCCAGGGCCCCAGCCCGGCGGTGGCCCCGCATCAGGCGCCCCCTCGCCCGCGTCACAGTCCGGCAGGTTTCTCTCTCCAGGGGCTTCGCGTCAGCTCCCCGTGGTCTCGCTCGTCACAGCAAAGCAGTTTCCGGAAACGGTTCACAGTTCTCGTTGGCCCGTTAGGTCCCAAAGGAAGGACTTTCCTTGTGAGGCAGGGCCGCGGGGGGCTGTGGGGCAGCTGTGTCCGGTGCTTCTGCTGTGGCGCAGAAGGAATGGCCAGGTTCCGCCGGCATCCGGTGGCGTTCTTCCAGTGAGACAGCCTCTCCCGCGGGCGGATCCGCCGCCAAAGAGCAGAACCCTTGCTCTTCCGCAACGGGCCTGCGGCCGCGAAGCCACCGGACTCCCGCAGACCAGGCCTGCGGCTGTGGTGCTGGTTTTACCCCCCAGAACTCTGGTGTGGTGACGGCGTGGGGGTGTGGGTTTCCCGTCGTGCTCTCTTGTCACCATGAATCGCTCTGGATTTGTTCTTTTTCTCACCGTCAAAAACGTGAAACTGTCCTTAGCCCAGGACTCTGCAGACCAGGCCGTGGGGCGGTCAAAGCCACTGGCTCGTGCCGAGGGTGCGTGTCCTGCACAGGGCGTGCGCGGCGGCACTGAGAACCGTGTTGGCGTGCAGGCCTCTCTGAGTTCAGGCCGGAGGCTGGGCTGCCTGGGTGGAGCCGACTGGGTTGTCACTCTGCCTTCTGAGGTGTGGGGGGGGGGCTTCTCCCCAGGGGTCCTGCAGGGACCGGGCAGTGTGCGGCGCCTCTGTGTCAGCTCTCGGGGCCCCTTGGCACTCCAGGTCAGGCTCCTGGGTGCCCAGACGTGCCGCCTGCGTGTCAGCTAAGGGGTGACGTGCAGATGAGACAAACAACCCGTAGCACCCACATGCGCCCCACAAATGTGTGTGTAGCCGCCTCCTCGCCTCAGAAGTGCAGCGCAGGGGTCCCGGTGCCCCACACTCGCCAGAGCAGAGCCCCCTTGCCGCTGCGCCACTGACGCCCTGCCTTCTCTTCCAGGTGCTGCAGGGGGCCCAGCTGATTGCCGTGGCCTCTTCTGACCCTGCGGCCACAGGTGTGGACGGGTCACCGCTCCAGGGCAGCGACATCCAGGTCCAGTACGTCCAGCTGGCGCCAGTGACTGACCACACCGCTGCGGCTCAGGTGGGTGCTCCTGCCAATGGGCCTGGGCCTCTGCTTCTGCAGCATGGGCCTCAGCCCAGGTCTTGCCGCTCCTGGCATGCTCCTGCAGGAGTTGGTCACCACAGCGAGCCTGTGCTTTGGACACAGGCACTCGTTCTGGGCAGGTGTCTAGGTGCCTGGAGGTGGGAAGGTGAGGGCGAGGTCCTGGCACAAGCACCAGCGTTACCCTGACTCTTGTCTCTGGCAAATGTTGTGATTCAGTCCTGCGTTGGGGGCTGTGGAGACAGGGATCCCGGTTTACCTGCGGCCTCAAGCCTTGCCTGGGCTGCTGTAGAAGGACCTGGCCTCTGAGCGGCCCCTCTGCAGTGGGAAGAAGGCCCTGCCACTGTGGTGCACTATGGGGCGTGCCGCTGCCCCGCAGAGCCCACCCCGTCACTGGCGTTGCTGGGCCATGTTCCCCCTGAGCCCTGCCCGCACTGCCAGCATCAGTGTTTCTCCCGGAGCACTGGAAAGCCTGGCCTCTAGCTCCTTTGGGCGCTTTCTAGAATGTCAGATGACAGGATGCTTCTTCAGGAGTGTGAGGTGTCTGGGCAGCTTGCGCAGGTGCTGGCTGAGAGCATCGTGATCTCTCACTTCAGGGCCCCCTCCCTGTCCCAGGTCTGGGGGACTGTTGTGCAGGGCCCCATGCTAGTGTGGACAGCCTGGCAGCTTATGCCCCTCCGGGGGCCGGCAGCGTCCATTCTGACTGACTGGCAGTGTTGACAACACTGCCTCTGAGGTCTGGGCCTGGCCCTGCTTTGTGGACGTCACTCAGGCCAGTCCTGGGAGGCAGGATGCACGTCCTCGTAGGAGCACCCCGAAGCTCTGGCTCCTCTGCTGCAGGGCAGGCCTGGTGCCCACACTCCCAGGTGCTTAGACCAGGTGCTATGAGCTCGGTCACCCCCCGGCCCCCTCACAGATCCTGACGTTGAGCTCTGCCTGCGTTAGCTCTGCTCAGTGTCCTGTCAGGCCGTCTCCGTCCACACCCTCAGGTCTCAGGGAACTGTTAATCAGGACGTACGCCTTCGACCGGGTGAGCAGATCTGTGCTGACCGGGCATTTGCCGCAGAGCCCAGCTGGCCGGGACTGGGCCTTCAGCTCATCGGGCGGCCCCAAGGCAGGGCCAGCACCTCCCCTTCCACTCCTGTTCTGCTGGTGGGCTGCTCCTCGGATGCCTCCTGCAGACAGCATCTGCAGAGACCCAGCTGAGGGACCAAGTCCACTGCTCGGGGCGCGTCGGCTTTATTAGACGGCTCCTGTGGGCCTCATGCGCCAGGCAGAGGAGGGCCCTGAGGGGTTGCAGAGTAGGGTGAAGGAGGGTGGGGCCCCGTCATCCAGGCCTGGCACCTTCCCTCAGGCCAGCAGGTCGGTCCTGCTGGTGACCCGGGTGCCACCTCTAGACTGATGTGGGTGGGTTTAGAGCCACACTCTGGGGAGAGGCTGAAACTGCAGCAGGAGTTAAGTCTGGGGCCTGATTTTTCTGTTTTTAGGGACTCCCCTCCCCTTCGAGCACTGCTCAGCCTGAGGGGGCTCCCAGCTCCTGCTACTCCCGGCCCTGTGGTGTCGGACACGGCTCTCGCATCTGACAGCCCCACCGCCGGCACCTTGGGGCCCCAGTCATCACGCTCAAGCCCACTTGCCTTTTCCAGCTGTGCGGGGCTTCCCCACCCCTGCAGTCTGGGTCACGGTGACCCCTTTCTTGACCCCCGCCCTTCCTCTCACAGGCTGCAGCCAGTGCCTGTGCCAAGCCCTTCATCAAAACAGAAGGCCCTGCTTTTCAGGACGTGCTGTTGAAAGCTGCTCGTGTGTGTGTTCTGAAGTGCGGCCTTCAACTAAGCCAGGCCGCAGCCCCTGCCCCCCGGCCTGTCTTCCTGCCCTTCTGCCCTGGCCGGCCTCTGCAGCTGCTTTTCCTGCCTGGGGAGCCAGGGAGCCCTCCTCGGAGGGGCCATCTTCATGATGGCATCTTTGACCTAGAGGTTAAGGGAGTCTGTAAAATAAACCCCCCGACGATCTCCATCTGGGAGCTCACTCTGCAGGGTTGAGGTGGATTATTCCAAGTTTGTATTGTCCCTATGCTTATGTTCAAACCGCAGTCATGCTTTTAAAATCGTTCAGATGTCTGACTTGTGGGTTAGAGGTTAGGTTGTAGGGGGGCTGGGGTAGCTGCCACTAAAGTACCTCATGGGAACATTAGAACAGTTTTACCAGAGGCCAAGTGGTAGCTGACATTCTGGGTACACGTCGGGTCGAGGGCGCTCCCCGGTGACAAGCAGGGCTGGGTGCAGAGGCGGACAGGCTGCTGCGCTGTGTGTGTGTGGGTGGGTGCGGTGCGACCAGGGGAGCAGAGTGGGAGTCGTTGCACGTGAGCACAGGCCCACGGAGCACCCCCAGCTCAGGGTGTGTCTTAATTGGCGCTTGACGCCGGTGTCTCCTGGCTGCCTCGCGGCCTGTGCCCTCCCGGGCAGGGATGTCTGTCGAGCCGTCCTCTCTCCCTCTTGCAGACGGCTGAGACCCTGCAGCCCGCCCTGCAGCCCGAGATGCAGCTTGAGCACGGCGCCATCCAGATCCAGTGAGTCGGACGCACCTCTGTTCCCGTGCACCGGGCCTGGCCCGCGGGTGGCGCGGGCAGATGCGGACAAGAGCCCGTCGCCCGCCCGGCCGGAGCTCCCCCAGCCCCCGCGCGGCGTCCAGCGGGTGGGGAGGCACAGCGCGGCGGCCTCCAGGATCCACAGAGTATCAGGAACTATCATATTTTTCTCTGTTTAAACAGCTTTTTAAAATTAGCTTTGTTGTTTATAACAAAAAAGAAAACTGAAAAAAAAGTGGATTGCCGGAAGCCTTTTGCCGTGAGCTCTGGTCAGTGTCGTGAAAATAGGTGTTTGCAAAAGACGACTAACGATTTTGATGGAAATATTGCTTACCTACTTTTCTAGGGGAAATGCTCTCAGACACTGTAATTACACATTTTTAATGAAATAAAATGTATTTATGAGCACTGCAGCAGCGTCCGCGTTGTTTCCTCTTAAGAGATGCCTTACGTGGGGCTGGGGTGTCCCCTGAGGGCCCTTCAGCGGGGCCAGTGGGGGCTGTGGGATCCTTTCCTGCCAAAGACTGTGGCTCCGTGTCATTGCGGGTCACGGGGGCGCCGTGCCAGCTCTGCCGTCCATGCCCAGACGCGGCCCAGACGTGTCAGCCGTGGGGCGCTTGTCTCTGACCCCCCTTTCGACAGCGGCAGCTCCGGGCCTCACAGAGAAAGTTGTGTGCACTCGCACGCACCTTACGTTTTAAAAGCTGTGGCAGGTGAGGCGGTGAGCAGAGGTCCTGCAGAGCTGCTTGGCCCGCCCGCGGCCGTCTTAGCTGTTACACTACGGGGGGACGGCCGTGAAACTCCCACATCCAAACTCTTCACTGGCTAGAATGTGACTGTTCCGCATTCTCTGGAAAACCTTCAGAATTGCATCCCAATCATGCCCCTTCCCACTCTGCCCCATTGGGGCACGGGGTTCCTTGCTGATGGTTGGAGGCAGGAGTCGGGGCGGCAGCTGCCCAGTGGACTGCACCGACTTAGAGTCCTCGCTTCTGTCTGCCTGGTGGGATTGGCCACCTTCCGGGGAGTCTCGGGCGGTGAGGACTTGGGGCCTGCCGGCTGGTCATCTCAGAACTTTCTGGGAAGGAAAGGAGGTGCGTGGTCCTGCAGGAGACGGTCTGGTTAGTGCTTGTCTGGAGAGGGAAGGACAGAGGAAGGTGATACTCGCAGGATGCAGGAAGCAGACCAGGTCTAAGCAGCGAGGGAAACATCCGTGCCCGAGCACGTGCAGACCGCAAAGAGACACAAAATTTTGAGATTGGTCAGAAGGGCCAGCAGTCTTCAATGGACGGTGGACGAGAACGGACCCGACCTCCAAAGGTCAGGCAAAGAGGCAGACACAGCAAGGTGTCGGAAAACGCACTAAACTATTGCTCCCGTGTCTGGCGGCTCAGTGCATTTGTGAGCGCACTCCCAAGAGGGTTGAGCTCTTTGTCTGCAGTGGAGCTTCACCATGACCTTGTTCCAGGAGCCAAAGGGTGGGAACGAGCCCGTGTCCATCAGAAGACAGAGAAACAAGATGTTCTCTGTCCACACTGGAATATTACATGGCCGTGAAAAGGAAGGGGGTTCTGGCCCACCTTCCTTCATGGACAGACCGCCACGAGGAGTGCAGGAAGCCGGACAAAAGCCGGCGTGTCATTGAGCAGTGAAGTACCACTGCAGATGTCCGCGGCAGGCAGGTCCATGAGATGCCGCAGGTGGTGGCCGCAGGAGGGCGTGGGGAGCGCCTGCTGATGCGTGGGGGTTTCTTTAGAGGTGATGAAAACATTCTGGATTTAGTGGTGATGTGGACACCACTGTCAATACACTGAAAGTCATTGAGTCTTGCCCTTCAGGGTGTCACTTGCAGACGATGCCTCATAATGAAAACTGTAGAAACTGGACTTTTCTCCAGAAACAGGCGGCGTGGCAGACGACTCGGTGAACATGCACCGTGTTAGTCCTGGAGATACATCTGAGCGCTTTCTAAGCATAAAATGGGATGATGAGATTTTCTAGGATGATGAAATGATGGAAAATACTTCCTAGGTTGGGGTGGGCAGGAAAGGAGATACGTTGTTTTGAAGTCCTTTCTTATTACCCAGGAGAGCAAGGATCAAGTCATTGCACAATTGAAGACAGCAAGTCCAGTACCTGCACAGTGAAGGCTTATGCTGGCAGCCATCTTGAGCTGCCCCCTTCCCTCCCCGCGAGATGAGGGGGCCCGGGACCCTGCCAGCTGTACCCACGGTGGCTCCCCAGGTGAAGCTGGGGGACGAGCTGGCTCGGTGAGGGCACTGGGTGTGCCCCTCACTTGAGTGAGGTGACTGAAGTGCTTGACGTGATGGGTGTCTCAGCTGCCGCTGGCCTGGAGCACTGAGGGCTCTTGGAAGGTCATCAAAGACATATAAATAAATGTCAGAGGACTGAAATCGTGCAGACAATGAGCTCTTACCACATGGAGTAAGCGAAACATCATGACGAAATGAGTAGAAAACTCCAAATGTTAATCAAATTGGTGAAATAAATCAAAATGAGAGGTATTTTTAATTAGCAATTAAATAGGACAAATTGGGATTAAAACTGGTGGACCATATCAAGAGTTGTGGGGCCCTTGGGTTGTCCTACTTCCACTTTGCTGAGCACCCTCCAGGCTGACTTCCAAGGCGGCTGCACCAGTGTTGGTCCCGCTGGCAGCACATGGGGTCCAGTTCTCCACACCCTCGCCAACACTGCTGCCTGGTGACTTTCATGACTGCCATTCTCTCAGGAGTGAGGTGGCACCTGATGGTAGACTTGATTTGCCTTCCCTGACACCTTGTCAGGACCCAGGGTCCCTCTGTAGGTCTTTTTTTTTTTTAATTAATTAATTTATTTTATTGTATTTTTTTGGTTAAAGATTTATTTGTTTGTTTGTTTGTTTATTTATACAAGCACTGGGTATAGTCAGAAGCGTAGGAGGGTGAGAGGATTCACCAGAGCCAGAGTGGGGAACAGAACAGGCAGACTGACGAAATACACTGCTGAGGGGAGCAGCGGGTGCAGCAGGAGAGCTCTGCGGGGGACCCTTGCCTGTGGCCCGGGATTGAACCTGCACTGCAGAGGCCGCGGGCAGCTTCGCAGCCCAGCCCTCAACTGCTATGCCACCATATTTATTTATGCATATTTTTTATGCATATTTTTTATGCATATTTATTATTTTTATATATTTTTTATATATTTTTATATATTTTATATATTTTTATATATTTTTATGCATATTTTTTATGCATATTTATGCATACAAGAGCTGGGGTACAGGTGAGAGATGCCGGGGGGTGAGAGGATTCACTAGAGACAGAGTGGGGAACAGAACAGGCAGACTGAAATACACTGCTGAGGGGAACAGTGGGGAGACAGGAGAGGTCTGCTGCACTGTGTGGGTTGCTTGCTGGCCGGCCGGGGATTGAACTTGTGCTGCAGTGGCTGCGGGTTGCTTCATAGTGCGGTGCTTAACCCCTTGTGCCACCATGGAGGCCCAAAAATTATTTTTATTTTGTGTAGAAGAACTGGAGTATAGGCTGGAAGTTTGGAGAATGAGAGGACTCACCAGAGAAGGGAGCAGAACAGGCAGATCTACTGAAGCACACTGCTGAGGGGAGCAGCGGGGAGACATGAGAGGTCTGCTGCGCCATATGGGTCAGCTCCCTGGCCAGGGATTGAACTCAGGCCATAATGGTGATAGCACTGAGACTGACTCCTAGGCCACCAGGGAGACCCAATGCCATTGATCTTTTAATGGGGCTTGTATTGAGTCTGTAGGTGGCTGTGGGCGGCAGTAAGGACATTTTGACAACGTTAATTTGGAGACTGTGTCCCTTGACCAAGTGAGATTAGGGTGAAAATTAATGAGAAAAAATGAGTTAAAAACAGCAACTGTTTGCAAATTAACTAATCTACTTTTAGATAACCCATGGGTCAAATAAAAAAAATGGAAAGGTATTTTTATTATCAACAATTGAATATGACAAATTGATGTGTCAAAACTTGTGGCAACCTCAATAAAAATTAAAAACTAGGGCCTCCCCTGGTGGCGCAGCGGTTGAGCGCAGGGCTGCGAGGCTGCCTGCAGCCTCTGCGGTGCCAGTTCGATCCCCGACACTGGCGAGGGTCCCACATGGTGCACAGACCTCTCCTGCCGCGCCTGCTACTCCCCTCAGCAGTGTGTTTCGTCGGTCTGCCTGTTCTGTTCCCTGCTCTGGCTCTGGTGAATCCTCTCACCCTCCCACGCTTCTGACTGTACCCAGTGCTTGTGTAAATAAATACATAAATCTTTAAAAAAAAATTAAAAACTAGCTTGTGGCATGTCTTAAGAGATGTGCTTAGAGAAAACCTCGTCTTGTCTTCAGATACAGTCCCAGAAGCGGCATCATTTCCCTTGCCCCGTCTCTAGTGTCTCTCTTCAGGCCTCTTCCCTTTCAGTGTGCAAAGCTCCACCTCCTCAGTTAGATTGGTTTCCAAGAGTTTTATTTTGGTGGTGTTGTGAATGACATTTATTTACTTTTCTTCTTCAGGAAGTTTGGTGTGATGTGAGTATGAAACCATATATCAAACTAAATTGGTGTGCACGGGTAACGCCTACACATGCGTACACATATGCGTTTGCTGTGGAGCTGGAGGAGCACGGCTCGCTGTTCGCAGCCTTTGCTCGGGCTCCATCATCTCAGGGCCCCTCACTCTGTGCCGTGACTGTTGCAACCCTGTGGTCATGTGCCGGGCCCCCAATTTGAGCTCGCGGGCACATTCCACTGGTGCAGGTGGGGAGGCGGCCTCCCCTCTGGGCCCGTGTCTGTGGGGACGCCAGGGGCCGCTTCCCATCCCTGCACCCTGGGGGTGTCTGTGCTGGGCCTGTGGGGGGTGAAGTGGTCTTCCTCCTCCCATTCTCACCTGTGCCCCGTGCCGTGGCCCTCCCGGCCGCCCTCACGCGCATGGTGACACGGCACACATGGGTGCTCTGGTGGGGCTGGGGCTGGTGCGGGTGGCCCGAGCTGTGCCTTCTCATGCGACCTTGAGCACAGCTCGTCACGGGAGCCGCCTGTAAGCTCCAGTCCCGTCACAAGGAGAACTCCGGGCTCACATGACTCCAGTGCTAAGTGCTTCCAAATGTTTAAGAAAGAACAGTTTGTCGTAAATTCTTCCGCAGCAGGAAAGAGAGGCTCGTGGCCCTGTTGTTGGATAAGGGAGGGCGCTGATGTCGACATCAGGCCTGACGAGATGCTGGGGGGAGCGGGGAGAGAGGGAGGGGAGACAGACGGGAGAGACAGACTCAGAAAGGACAGACGTGGGTGGGCCAGGGTCATGCTGAGCAGAGTGGCCGGGGAGGGATGGGGGTCCGCAGAGGTGCAGCGCCCCACGTAGAGCACGCCTCTGTGCGGCCTCGCGCCATGGTGGGGCGC